AACAGTTATCATCACCTAAATGCTCTATAAAAAAAAATTATAAAAATTATTGCTGCGATGGCACAGGGCGATTGTGCACATAGGTATGTGGTATTTATTTGTTGCAAAAGAGCCTATCTGCAATTTATTTATTTATTTATTTATTTATTTACGGACAGATCCATTACAAGAATTGTACAATATAAACAATTTAAAAATACACATTAAAAACCATTCATTCATGTGATACATTATATAGGTACACATCTAAACATATAGGTGATTAAAAATGAAGAGCATCACAGAGCAAGGCGCCTTCCCACTTCAGAACTGAAGGCAGAGAAGGTTATGCCAAAATAGTGCAAATTCATACTATTGGCACTCCGCGCCATTCTTGTTAAAGGGCAGTGGAATCCATAAGTACGACAATGAAATTTAATGTGAAAAGTATCATTTGACCTGGTACCAGAGGAGTTAGTTTTTAATCCAACGTGAGAAAGAAGATCTGGAGAAAGAACTTCACCAGACAATAACTTGAATAAAAAGCATAAATCACTTTTAATCCTCCTACTTTCGAGGGTGGATATTCCTAATATGGAACACAAAAGATGATAATCATAATAATAGTTTTCCACATGAATCCCTAGTCTGTATGCCGAACATCTTAAGAATTTATGTTGCACAGTCTCCAGCATGTTAATATATATCTGATAGTGAGGGTTCCACAGAACAGATGCATACTCCATATGGGAGCGAACATGAGCACAATAAAGCAACTTAAATGAGTTAATCGAGAGGTCTCTGGAGGTCCTTTTGATATAACCCAACATTTTACGCGCTTTCATGGAGATCATAATTATGTGTTGGGAGAAACATAATTTATCATCAAGTAAAACACCCAAGTCTTTAATTTGAGTTACTCTTTCAAGTACACGAGAGTTGATAGAATATGAATAATCTATAGATTTGCGGTTTCTGTTAAAATTTATGAAGGAACACTTATTGAGATTCAGATCCATTCCATTGGCATTGCACCAATCAGCAAGGTTGTTGATATCACTTTGTAATTCATAACAATTGTTTACATTTTCAATAACTTTGAATAGCTTCAAATCGTCAGCAAATAGTAGAAATTGAGAATTTACAATGTTGATCGCAACATCATTCACGAAGAGGTTGAATAATAGTGGGCCACAGTGACTACCTTGTGGAACACCAGAATGAACTGCGATGCTATCAGAGACATAATTTCCAATTTTAACCCACTGATACCTGCCTGTTAGGAAGCTGTGAAGCCAGTCAGACAATTTGCCAGTGATGCCATATGCATTCAGTTTTGCAATCAGCAGTTCATGATTTACTCTATCAAATGCTTTTGAGAAGTCAGTGTAGATAGAGTGTACTTGATATCCCTTCTCAAAAGCATTTAAAATTGTTTGTTGAAAAGATAATAAACTAGTTACAGTGGATCTACCCTTATTGAATCCATGCTGCTGATCAACAATTAAACCTTTACACTCCCAAGATAGAAAGTCTGTAATTATTGAGTCCAACATTTTAGGTAAGCAAGACTGTAGACATATACCTCTATAGTTAGTGATATCTTCAACACAGCCTTTCTTAAATATAGGTCGTACGAAGCTATATTTCCAAAAGTCTGGAAATATACCTTGGTCCAGAGACATATTGAAAATCATACATATAGGACTGGTCAAAGAGTAAATGCATCTCTTTATAAAGTAAGGTGAAATTCCATCAGGACCACAACACACCCCATCCTTCATACCTGAAATCCTATCGAACACCTCACTCAGTGATACTCTATACTTATTAACATTGACGGTATTATGATAACATATATTGGGAACAATTACATCAGATTTAACATATACAGAAGAAAAATTCTCAGAAAATAAATTAGCAGTTTCGCTGCCATTCTTACTTATTTTGTTATGCAAATACATTTCACTTGGAAAACTATTTCTCGATTTTTCATTTGCAAATCTCCAAAAAGACTTGCTATCTGTTGTTAAACCATCTTCAATTTTTGAAATATAGTTGCGGTAACACTCATTAGTTAAAATTTTACATTTATTTCTAAGAAAAGAGAAATTAACATAATCTTGTTGATTGTTTGTTTCTTTAAAGAGTTTATGTGCAGATTTTTTATCAAATATACAACTTTTTAGCTCAGGGCTATACCAACATGGAAAAATATAGTTAGATTTCAGAATTTTCATAGGTATGAATGTATGCATAAGAGAAAATAAAACATCATACAGCTGGGCAGTCGCAGTGTTAATATCATTAAAATGCAAGTAACTTTCCCAATCAATCATGGATAAGTGTAAGTTTATTGAGTCATAGTCACCCCTTCTGAAGTCAAAAACAACTTCTTCAGTTTCCAAAGAATCATCAACATAACATGTAGGAATATCAAAGAAGCAAGAAGTATGGTGAATACTATTATGATGTAACAAATCAACAGCAGGATGGACTGAAATTGAATCAAGATTAGAAAACAACAGATCAAGTAAAACGTTTCGGCTGTTGTGAACATTATTATGTTGATAAAGATTTAGAAAACCAAACGATTCACATAAAGTGAGTGCAGGTGAGCTTATGGGACACTGGACACTGACACCGCGTTTGCTATTAGACCAAACTGCCTCAGGAAGATTATAATCACCAGCAAGAAAAATATTATGATTAACATATTTTTGCATCAATATCTCAATTTCTTCAGCATGGAGCAAATATTTGTCAACTGCAGAGTTGGGAGGAATGTAAATTCCACCAATGATGAATTTATTAATACCATGCGTAATTCTGGCAAAACATTGCTCTAAGTGCTTATTTGACTGAATGAAAGAGGGATTCAGATTGTTTTTTATCGCCAATAACACACCGCCACCTGTTTTTTTTTCACTAGTATGAGTCGATCTGTCACAGCGAAAGATGGTGTAACCCAAAATAGATGATTCAGATGAACTTATGTCATCAGAGAACCAGGTTTCTGTCAGTATAATAATATCATAGGTACACTGGAGAACAAGATTTTTGAAATCAGGAAGACTTGACTTCAATCCCCCCACATTCTGATAATAACAAGAGAGAGACACTTTCTGATTAGAAAATTTCTTTGCATTCCTCTGCATAACACCCGTTTCATCGTCTTGATTCACGCAACAGCTGTGGGATCCACTACTGACTGTGGCATCCCTTTCTTCTGGAAAAACTTAGACACGAAGGCACCTTTAGGCCAGATGTCCTTTCGCCAAGCCTTCTTGTAATTATCCTGACTGATATTCACTTTCATGGAAGCATAATTATTGGGATACTTTGATTTGATAGGTTCCACAGTGACTTCTGGAAACTGATCCAATAAGATTGACTTCAAGCTATCAGCACTCGTACTAGGGTGTAAGCGTGTGACATGAAAGGAAACGAACTTTGTTATGGCACGAACATCAGCTGTTTCTGTATTGTCACCTACTAGAAACTTTCTATTGCGCCTATTATAAGGTTTAATCCAATTCTCATCAGCATGAGATTGCCCTTGGTTGTCAACATCACCAAGATCTTGCAAGTCTTTCATGGCTGCCCTTGAGGTTGATTCTAATATAGCAGAACTAACTTGTTGAATAGTTATTTGCTCCGTATTTTGGCTGCTAGCGCTAGGAATTATATTCTTGGGTTTCGATGAATTCATTTTGGCATTGACAGCACTGACACTACTGACAGCAGTGACAGCCCTACCATTATCCTTGAATGAGGAAGCCTTATTTTTATTGACATCAAAAGTGGCACTGCGTGAGGAGGCAGCTGATGCATATGACTGGTTGTGGTTAAGGTTAGACTGGTTGCTTTGACCATGACCATGACCAACCTGATTCGATGAGTCAGAAATACCATTCTTAAAATTTGAGGTTAGATCAGAAATGTTGCGATTTTCAGCAACTTGAGTTTCTAAATCATTAATTCTGCACCTTAGGAGTTCTTGATTATCCATTAGCACAAGGACGAGCTTGCTAAGAAGTTCGTTTTCCTTTGTGATATCACTGAGAAGGTGTTCACCGTCATGTTTCACTACACATGCTGGACAGATAACTTCTTCATAACTAATCACTCTGAGACCTTTCAGGCGAACAGCACAAGATGGATGGTAGGAAACTTGACATTTTTGGCACTTTAGGTCGCCTTTAACACCACGTTTGCACGAAAAACACAACGTATTTTGCGAAATTTTTAAATTTTTGTTGGGGTCATCTGGAACACCGACCTTGCCGTCGGCCATCTTGATTGAACCAATTTGAAATAATCAATTCCAAAATATCATAATTTTCAATATATTCTCGAAAAATATACAAAAATATAGGCTATACAGTTGTTCCACTTACCATGCTCACCATGGGTATCGTTTTAACGGTGAGAGATACGAGGTCGGTTAAATGACACCAAATGTGGAGTTTGTCAAGGCCAACTATAATGTGAAAAACTATTTTGATAAAATCTATTCGTTTTTGTTTTATACGCAAAAAATAGATTTTGATCATTTTCATGTTTCCTCCGTAACTTCTTTATTTATGAAAATATTCAAATAGGAATTTCACATTCTCATGGCAGTTTTTCAAAGTGATTTCGAAAAAAATATGAAATTTATACCAACTCTTTTAGAATCTGAGATATCAGCACCAACTTTAGTTTTTCAAATGTAGGTCATAGCTCACTATGACTTAGTTACAAATAACTTTTTTTTCTCTTACAGATGATGTGTCGCAGTAATAGTTTTTGTGTTGATAACAACGGAGTTATCGTCAAGTGGGACACACTGTATGTTTTTTTTGCACCTCATTACAAATAATTACTAGTCGCCGAATGGAATATAGAAAATTCTTTGTGGAAATTGTCCTTAATGTGAAATAAGCCCTTTGTGCTTATGACGGCAGTAGTGCAATACTATTTCAACCAATGAAATTTGCTGCTATTGTTTGTTCAGTTCTGTTTTTTTGTTATTTCAGATGCAGCACCTGATGAAAGGGAGGAATTATTCGTACAGAAACTCAGGCAATGCTGTGTGTTATTCGATTTCGCCGCTGATCCCTTGTCGGACCTCAAGTGGAAAGAAGTGAAACGAGCTGCACTTCAAGAAATGGTTGAGTATGTTACTCAACAAAAAGGTGTTATTACCGAAACCATATATGCAGAGGCTGTTAATATGGTACGTCTAATGTTTCTGGATTCAATAGTTTGCAAGAAAACTCTCAGGAAGTTCGTGTTTTCGGGTTTCTTGGATGTGTGTATGAAAACGTACTCCTAATAATTGGAGGTGAAATCGGATTTATTTATATCGAATCGATGACTCTAAAATAAATGTAATATAAATTCAAGTATACCTTACATTGAATCTAAATGGGAAATACCCACATGGCGGAGGAATGTGTATACAAAAAATATCATTAAGAACATCAAATTGTTAAAGGTAAGACTCACCTAAAATAAATGCGGGTGCATACACGAAAAAGTCGGGTATTCCAAACCCCAAGCAAAGTATTTTAAAGAAATATTCAACGATATAATATACAGGGTGAGTCAAGCTGAACGCATCGGGCTATAATGACCAAATGGTAACCTTTCTGAGAAATAATTTTATCCAGGCGCATGTATGTCGATCTGGACCACATTTTTAAAATGGTGTGATGAATACAATGTGTCCCAAAAAAGGGTGGCATATCAAAGTTGTACTTTTTTGAATGGAACACCCTATATTTCATTGCATTTTTAGATTCTCCCTGAAAAGCTGATTCCATCAATGCATCACACTTGAGGTCTAGCGGGAATGGTTACAGAGATATAGGGTGTTAAAAATCGAGATTTTCCAATTATAGGATTTTTTTGTGTCGAAACTATTCATTATAGGCCAAAACGGCTCACATGTCCCTATCTCAACTTTTGATTTACTACCTACTGACATTCAATTGGAACAGATACAGGGTGATCAGAATTCTGAATCTTGAACCACCCTGTATTTGTTCCAATTAAATGTCAGTAGATAGGAAATCAGAAGTTAAAATTGGAACATGTAAGCCGTTTTGGCCTATAATGAATAGTTTCGACACAAAAAATTACTAAAATTGAAAAAACTCGATTTTGAACACCCTATATCTCTGTAACCATTCCCGCTAGACCCCAAGTGTGATGCATTGATGGAATCAGCTTTTCAGGGAGAATCTATACCTTTTCAACTTCAATTTCGGAATCGGTGAGTTATATTTCGGAAAAAGTAATCTCGATTTCAGAATTGGTTAGTTCGATTTCAGAAATGGTAAACTCAATTTCAGAATCGGTGAGATGAATTTCAGAAAAAGTCCATTCAATTTCAGAAATGGTAAGTTGTATTTCAGAATTATTATTGGTAGGTTCAATTTCCGAAGATGAAATCCTTTTATATGTTTGAAATGTTGTTAATTGCAAAAGAGGAGATTGTTTACAGTGGATGAACGGTGTTTGAGAGCCCTATGTTGAATCAGATTGAACATATATGGGGTGCCTTCAAGTCAGAAGTGAAGAGCTTCTTGCAAGAGCTTCGCCAAAGGGTCATAGCTGGGGATCCGAACAGCTTGCTCAACCAGATAGAATTCAGACTGTGATGTCTTGAGGAATGTGCAGATCATTCAATGAGAATGATAGCACCTCAAATGTGTTTGCATTCTCATAATCATGTGCAACGCTATTATCTTCCAGCGATTCGGATGGAAGGCATCTGTGGATTGAATTGAGATTATAATTATGTTATTGAATTGTTTTTGACAAGTTGAATATTGTAAATATGGTTTGTTAATCTCACATACAATTGGAAACATTTCGAACAAATATTAGGATTTTTTTTCTGAAATTGAACCTACCAATTCTGAAATACAACTTACCATTTCTGAAATTGAATGGACTTTTTCTGAAATTCATCTCACCGATTCTGAAATTGAGTTTACCATTTCTGAAATCGAACTAACCAATTCTGAAATCGAGATTACTTTTTCCGAAATTGAAGTTGAAAAGGTATAAAAATGCAATGAAATATAGGGTGTTCCATTCAAAAAAGTACAACTTTGATATGCCACCCTTTTTTGGGACACATTGTATTCATCACACCATTTTAAAAATGTGGTCCAGATCGACATACATGCGCCTGGATAAAATTATTTCTCAGAAAGGTTACCATTTGGTCATTATAGCCCGATGCGTTCAGCTTGACTCACCCTGTACATATAGGACCCATAGTGGAAGGAGAAGATGGTGTGCCTACGCGCATATTATGTGACGTCATCTGGGATACCAATATCAGCTGCTAGTCACAGACAGATACTGTTGCGATGGGCGTGCGCAATGAATTCAACCATGTTCATTGAAATTTCTATAAGTTTCTCGATCTGTTTAGAAATAATTCAATTTGTATAAACATGTAACTTTTCCTTTGATTTTTCTATTTCATTGATTCTGGAAATTGTCATCTTGAGGTAATTCGCAATCGCAAATGGCAAATACATACGAATTATCATGCATCATGCATTGCCAATCCCATCTGAATGATCCACTACTGTGTCGATTCTGACAGATTAAAATTCAGCAGTTAACGACGTTGACGTTGCTTCTGCTCCGACATCGACAACAGGAGTATCAATTTTTGCCGTTTTGTTATTCAAATCTTTGCTGCAATTTATATTTTGTGAGAAATTAAGAGTTTTGAATTCATTTTCAATTATTTCTGAATTGATATTCGGAAGATGTTCTGTAGGAATGGCATCTTGTTTCAAATATTTGTGATTTTTTGGAGGTGTGTAATTCAAGAACCGTACTTTCGCACTTTTTTGGGAACATTTTGCATGGAAATGTTTCTAAGAAATACGTGCTGTAATATGAATGTGATGATAATATGATAGGTGAATACTTTGGGATGAGAATGTAAGGAATAAAAGGTAGGTACCATAATTTGAGTTTATATTCTGTCGGCAGCAAGCTCCCATCGTTTCATTAGGTCTCCATTCTTGGATAAGCAGAAAAATTCATCTGTGCCTTTTGTATGTTAGTTGGAATTTCCATAACCAGAAAAAAAAAACAAGTAGGCATTTCGAAATTATTCTATTCAATTTTAGTACTTATATAATATCTGAAGTTCGAGACATCAATCACAAAAACAAATAATAACAATGACAGTTATATCCCAGCTGACGTCTTGCGCAGAACAAGACGAGTTTGAGCTTTCTGTTGAGCACACCATCTTCTCCTTCCACTATGATAGGACCCAATGGCGTTCCGATGAAATCAGGTATCAAAATGGTCAGAAAACTATTCGTTCACGTAGAAACACTTTTTTCGGATTTGAATGCAAAAACAATTTTCACAAAGGTAGGGCACGTGGCGTCCTCGTCCAATACATACGCGAAGCTTGCACTCTGTCGTACAGATCCTGTTACAGTTTATTTCGTAATGTTCGGCTTCTCGACGCTAGAGGGCGCAAAAGATATTTTTAGGATTTGTGTTCGTTCCGATTTGAATTTGGCAGAGGGAGGTACCTAGTAGGTGAAAAGAGAAAATCTGTAAACACTTACAACCAAATGCAAAATATTTTAATAACGATCCTCGATCATTTACCATGAAGCGGGAAATATCCCTTTGATCTGCTACAAGTTTATTGTTCTCAATCCTACATAATTCACCTTGTGTGAGTTTTGAACCCAGATAATCTCAGCTACACTTATAATAAAATTCTTGACTTAGTAGCTTTTAAGTAGGTATGGCAAATAACATTATAAATGGCTCTTATCAAATAAGCTTAAACTGAATCACCAAGAAACAAACTTCATTACCTATAGATGAAAAAATTCCAAATTTGAGGAACTTGGATTAGAAATTGTTGGACATGCAGTCGGAGAGGTCAGAAGCACAAAATATTTAGGATGAATTTTAGACAACATCTTCAATTGAAAGGAACATTTAGATTACATACATAAAAAAATTGTACCAATGGTTGGAGCCTTCTAGAGACTTTCTTAATAATAATGTTAAGAGGATGATCTATAATTCTTATTTTCTCTCCATTTTCAGATACTTGATTTGTGTGTGATAATTTGTGGCACAACCAATCCAACTCAATTAAATAGGTGGCAAATACTCTAAAATAAAGCGGTCAAGAAAAAACAAACATTACAATAACGTACAATAATGACATTCATGAATACAACATTAGGAACAGAAATAATCTGCACCTTTAAAATATCCCAACAAATAAAGCATTAAGAAACCCTGTGAACAAAGGAATGCAAACATATAATTCTCTTCCAAATTCAATTAAAAGTATAAGCAATGAGAAAAAATTCACTGTAAACATGAAAAATCACTCATTTACAAATTAACAAATTACAATAAAGCAATGAAAAAAAAATTGGACACAATCGGAACTTGTGAATAGTATACATGTATTACATTTAGGAAAACACTGTAATTATGTGAATACTTTTCTGAATAAAGCTTTTCTTGAAAAAAAATTGTATCTACTAAAAATAGTATACAGATATCTGTCACTAACAAGGACAAATAAATAGATGCTCATAAAAAAAATCTCCCAAGTGGTGACTCCGCCATGTTTTAGCAGATTTCAGAAAATGAAAAAACAAATTGATGATTCAAAAGCATTACAAAATGATTCATCTTTCATGGCTAACAATTTTGATAAGGTGATATTGATAATTTTATTTCACCTAACACCAGTATGTAATTACTGCCCAATTAACAATAAATGGAAGGACAATCCATGAGAATCCGCAAAGTACTCCTATGACCAACACGCGAGTATTCGAATTGGTTGAGGTGCCTGCGCACTATTTATCAACGTCTTGTTGGAATGCATGTCTATACTCGTTGATTTTGTCAAAGCCGTGATTATGAATCGTTGACATTCGTTGATTAGCCAATTTTACGTTGTTTGTGTTTGGTGTATTATACATAATGCTATTTTATTATCATCTATCTTCAGAAGTTTATGTGTCCGCTTTTTTTGTTTGGTTTGCCATACGACATTAATATATTGCAGTAACCGCGATGATATGTGAGAAGTTTTTGAATTATCCAAGGCCGGCCCACTACGATATAGGCACTGCACATACTCGACAGCCAACTTTTCCAGGCATAGGTCGCGTGCACGATGACCGACTGGAGGCAAAATATTGAAACACAACCTCAATCTTCTGTGAATTATTGAAACACAACCTCACTTTTTCATTTGTTTACAGAGGAATCAAAAGGTTGAAATAGTTTTTCACAATATTTTGGCATACGAATCGTGTTTCTTGCGTTAGAGTCCGACCACGTTAACTTTGGGACAGCAAGTGGTCACAAATGCATTGAATATGCATAAGAGTTGCGTCACGTGGTGTCCCAAAGTTAACGTGGTCGGACTCTATTCATTAATTCAAGCATGCTTTCGCATTGTGCTGTTGTAAAATGCACAAAAAATGCAGCAAGAGACTAGGGAATATGATTTTTCAGGTAGATAGTTATCTCACATAGTTATCATTATGAAATGTTGTCATTCCTTATTAAAATTCCTTCTGCCTTCTGCCACTTCTGCAATACAAGCTAATTCTGCTAATAGATTGAGAATGTCTACAACACACACGATCGTCAGCATGTCAGACCAGTCCTCCCGATTGATTGCATGAATCCAATCTTCTTGCATTATTCTAGAAATTTCAGGTATATTTCCATTAGCTCTTATTGCAGAAGGAATTCCGCGAGAAATCAGAGAAATAACCAAATTTCAAAAACGAAAACTATATGTGAGTGAGTGACTATAGTAGGTACTTACTTTTAAATCATAATGTACCATCCGGATTCCTTCATCTTCCGCTGCAGTTTTTGTGCATTTTACAACAGCACAATGTGATGGCATGAGCGAATTGATGAATAGCGGAAAAATACGATTCATATGCCAAAATAATTGTGAAAAACTATTTCGATCACTTGTAAACAAATAAGAAAAGTGACGTTGTGTTTCAATGTTTTGCCGCCAGCGTCGGTCATCTGACAGTTCTTGCACGCAACCCATAGCCTTTCATGTGTTTAATAATGGGGTACTGTCGTAATAGGTTAACCCTACTAGTGTGGGAAAGTGAAAAATATCATCTAGTTCATTCAATGAAATAGTTTGAAACAATTTTAACCCATCGGATTCCTAAATTGAGTAGGAAATAATAAATGTAAAAACTTCACAAATGATAAGATTTCCAACAAAGTTCATTTGTCATGGATTTCCATCAAGTAACGGCCGAGTCATTGAAAAATAAAATAATAATAATACTTGCCATGAAAATACAAGTACATCTTGATAGGATCATGCAAAAATTCATCTAATTTTCTTGAAACATGGTTGAGGACAAAATTTATCTCTGATTTATGGATGGATGGAATATGCATTCCTTTATCAGGATTTTATAAACATGAAAATTTAACCGACCTGTGATCAGAAGGAATTTTCATTCTCTTTTTTTTTTCAGTTTGCTGTGAATCTCTTTCGAACACTACCTCCTTCCTCCAATCCCAATGGAGCAGAATTCGACCCAGAAGAAGACGAACCAACGTTGGAAGCGGCATGGCCCCACCTCCAACTCGTCTACGAACTATTCCTGAGGGTATTAGAGGCACCTGATTTCCAACCAAATATAGCTAAGAGATACATAGATCAAAAATTTGTTTTACAACTTTTAGATTTGTTTGATTCTGAAGATCCTAGAGAAAGAGATTTATTAAAGACAACATTGCATAGGATATACGGCAAATTTTTGGGATTGAGAGCGTTCATACGTAAACAGATAAATAATGTATTCTATAAGTTCATTTATGAGACTGAACACCATAATGGCATTGCAGAACTTTTAGAAATTCTTGGGTCTATCATCAATGGTTTTGCTCTACCCCTGAAGGAAGAACATAAGGTAATCAACATATTTGCAAAAATTCGAAAATAATTGAGAGGAAACTTCAAAACGATCAAATTCTAAAAACCATACTTAATAGCCTAACCTAAAGCATTCTATGTTCCGTTTTTCCATGAATACTTTTTCCTTAAACCACCTCGGCAGCAGGCACGATTACCCATAGGTACTTTTTGTTCATAGATGAAAATTCAAAGTCATCTCCACAACTTTCATTAGAATGACCAAAGATCAATTGTAACGGAACATGTTTTGGGCTTATTTAAGCCCATCATCAGCCCTTAGTTCTAAAAAAATCGATACTTCTCGTTGTTCAGAGCAAAACTTTGCCACAACACATTCCTGCTGATTATCTGTCATAACAACAATCTTCTGAGATGAATATATGTATAAATATAAACTCTTCTATTGACAAAAACTTCTCTGTTCATACTTCTGAATATATACAGTCTGTCCGAGATAAGGTTGAACAGCATGGGGATCTCGAAAACGGTAGAAGTTACGAAGTCGGTTAAATGGGGAAAAAGTTGCGCATTCGGAGGCTCATATCAAGAGCCTTCCAAAATTTTCAAAATTATTTTTAGTTTTTGAGATATCGAAAAAAGTTAACAATAATACCTAAGTATGTGGTATTCCAGGAAATGTCAAAATTTTGCAGATTTTCCTCGAACAATCATCTGGACTGATGAAAGCATGGTCATCTTCGATAGAGAAAATACACATTTTTCACGAGAAAATGAACATTTATACATTACAGCCAGACACCATCAACACCGTTTCGGCTTTAATATGTGGGTTGCAATATTTGGTATATGAATCATTGGTCCTTTTATTTACCATGAAACACAGACTTCCGAACGTTATAAAAATTTGCTTGAGAATCATCTTGAGGAAGCTCTGGATGATTCACCGATTGCGGAAGTTCAGAACTGTTGCAACAAGATCCGGTCAACATTGATGATGGATATAAATAGGTCGAAACACATTCGAATCATCTTGTAATGAAAGATGCAGTATTTTGGTAAACTTATATTATTAATAAGTCAACCATTTTGCACCCAAATATGCAACTTATTTATATTTTTGAAATCAAAAATGAAGGCTCCATCAACATATCAAAAACTTAGAGTTGATGCGATTTCCGGAAAAACGAATGGCCCTGTATATACAAATCATTACAAAATCAAAATTTAGATAATTTCAAACAACTTTTGCATTCAACATCTTCCAATATCTCGAAAAACAAAATATTTGAGTTAAGGTTCAATTTTAAGAGGTGCACAAAGCATCCAGTCACGTAAAAAGGAGGAAGGGCTTGTAGCTACTCATTGTCTATCTCTCATTGGTTGGTTCTCTACATCTGTTTTTAGGCGCGATAAATATTCGATTTGAAATCTCAACGTGTCAAATCAATGATGGATAGTCACATGAAATGAAAAACTGAGTCTATTTACTCTAACATTGGCTAAAGTGTATAAGTAGGTTATATCAACAAGCCATACTGAGCATGAGCATACAAACCCATACATTTGCCCTATACAAAGACACAATGTTAAAAAACTACAGACTATCACAACACCTACAAATCAATTAGTGGTTCACAGTCGCACTAACTAACTAAGTGGTTAGAAACCTATAATCTCTTGACCATGAGTTTCCATATTCATATTACTGAAGTATGTTAATTGTTGTTCAATTGAATTTATTCTTTTTGAAGTTTTGTCTCTACAATATTAATGGATAATGGTGGCCAAGCTGATTCAGAATTTTAATGAAATAATTATGTGTGTACTGATCTTTTTAAGGTATTTCTTTTGAGAGTCCTGATGCCCTTGCACAAGGTGAAAAGCCTATCAGTCTACCACCCACAGTTGGCTTACTGTGTAGTACAATTCCTTGAAAAAGACCCATCTCTCACCCAGCCCGTCATGAGAAGTCTGCTCAAATATTGGCCGAAGACTCACAGTCCCAAGGAGGTTATGTTTCTCAATGAGCTAGAAGAAATTTTGGACGTTATAGAACCTGCGGAATTCCAAAAAATCATGATACCACTGTTCAGGCAACTGTCGAAATGTGTCAGTTCGCCCCACTTCCAAGTAGCCGAGAGGGCTTTGTATTATTGGAACAATGAATACGTCATGTCCTTGGTTTCGGAAAATGCTGCCGAAATTTTGCCGATCATGTTTCCCAGTTTGTACAGGAATTCGAAGAGTCATTGGAATAAGACTATACACGGCCTCATTTATAACGCTCTCAAGTTGTTCATGGAGATGAATCAGAAGCTGTTTGATGAATGCACCCAACAATATCGGCAAGAAAGGCAAAAGTGAGTATAATATTTTTGAGTGCTCTAAAAAATTGATACATTGTGTTTCCAAAATTGGAGGAATCCTTGAAATGAATAATAGCAGACGGAAAAACAAAACAACATGGGTGAATACCTTTTTGCGAAAAAATATTTATTTTGAAAGATTGAATTTGAAATTTTAGCCTAAAGTGGCCCAACTATTGCGGAACATTGATCAGAGTACCGTATAGAGGTCACCGACCGCCGTCGACTCGTCATGGTCAAGGGCAGGGAGGTATAGTTTGTGGGTTGAATGATTACTTATCAGTTGAAGGAATTTCATCATGAGAAAAGGTGAATAAGTTGTTTAACTAACCCTGGAGTATCATTAGAAAAATTTTTTCACTAGTATGTTGAGAATTCTGCCTTGAAGCTGTGATACATAACGTTTTTTGTATCAAGTGTAGAAATTCAAGGAAAATAATGCAAGTATTTGACAGAAAATATTGAAATTAATTGTATTCATAAGTTGAGTGCTAATTGACAATCTACCTACTTCACATTATTTCTATTTTTTGACTAGCTTTGTTTATTTCTTAACCAACCGAACGAAACCATAATGGAAAAAAAAGAACCCAACTCCTAAAATCACCCAAAGTCCATTCCAACTTAGAAGACGGCATTGGCAATCATAGGGAAGCGTTGACCTTCGCTTTGATTGATTGATATGAGGCAATATTACACCTGCACCTGCCTAATATTATGATCTGTGACGTGACGTAAAGGAGGAAGTTTTCTTTGTGTAAAGATGATCACATCATCACATTATATTTATTTGTTGTATATTTTATAGGTTACAATAAATCCTGAGAATGATCAGGATCTCAGAGTGGAATTTAATTATTAGAGAGGCCATTAATTTGTATTAGCCGCCATTATTTATTTCATCAGTGTAAAGATTCCTTCAGAGGCAGCGCTACCTACTGTCTTAATGTCTTCTTATTTGGAACATAGTATAAGTACCTACCTTACTTGATTTTGAACACAACAGGAAATTGTTGAATCATGCCATTGAATCTCATGCATGAAGTTAGAGCATTAGAGGGAGGAGGATATGAATTATATTTTTCCCTCTATAAAATGGAATCAATTTTACTTATATTTTAATAAACAGAAGGAATAAGATTATTTCAACCATTTAAGATAATGCGTCAGAGAGATTGAAATTAGAGACTACATACCGGTCTCCTAATAACCGGCTGAGGATTTGCCTGATTTTAACATTCCTTCCAGTTGAACAAATGATATGCCCAAGCGCATGCGTGTCTATTATCTAGCAATCGGAGGTCGGAAATCACTGTAACGCCAATTAGGCCACACACCAAAAATGTACTTTCTACTTCAGTCTGCACTCTTCAATCGTTTTTTTTTATCTCCCATTGTTTTTCTCAGTTATGAGATGAGATGATGAAACTTATTTTGTTACCTACCATTTTTAAGTGATTATCGTTGTTCTACCTAAAATTTCAAGAAACATTTTAGTTTCATTTGTCTATGTGTCAAAATATGGCCGGCCTCACATTTATGGGAATAATGTCACAGGTATGTTGTACACTCGTCTTCAGCGAACATGTCGCGATTGGACGGTATGAGCGCTCCTAGCAGGGGTGATCAAGGGAGCTGACACCTTTCATGTGTGACATGATCTCTGAAGACGAGTGTACTTGATGGTTTATGCACCACTGTTTCTGAATATCGAAAACCGTGACATTTTATAATATGAGAAACCTGGCAACAGTGCGGGAGTGCGATTGCCGTGGCGACTGCTGACTCAGCCGGCCGCAGCGTTGCCACATCGAACTAGTGCATCTCAAACCATGGAAAGTAAAATCACACAATTTTTGAAAATTGGATTGCTTTAATAAATTCCACGATTTATTGTGTTATTATGACTCGAAAACATTCCATTTCAATGATCACTCCAATGTGAGGAATCCTCCTTTATGCTGTGCTTATTTATTACCTCATACTTGATACCCCTACCCCTATTGATATACCTCCTACTTCAAAAGAGGTAAAGAAATGGAAGTAGAATTCCTGCGGTTATTCTTTAGTTCTATTTCTTTTTCACTGGGAAACTACAGTCATGTGTTGAAACTGGAACGTGAACATCCAAAAGACAATTTGAACAAAACTAAATACTAATAAGGTTTGCATATTGTTGAAATCGATTTATGAAGGTGGCTCACCCCTATAACTTCTTTATTATTGAAGATGGAAAAACGAAATTTGGGGGTTGTGTATAATAGTTCAATTTACATTTTTTGACATATTTACTTGCCTTGCCGTACTTCAAGTTTGACCGGAAATGAGCCCAACTTACTCATTTCGATCGAGAATAACATTCCAAGTCCAACAATACCTTACTTGTCAATATTTCAAACAATAATGTATTGCAAACCAACTTTATCTGCCATATACCTTGAAATGTCAAAGTCGCATTTCTAGAAAGAGATGATAAATTTTTGAAACTCCGAAATGGTGACTGGTCTGGTCTAGAATCACTGGATGGTAATAGTTAGATAAGAGTTTGGACACAGAAATGGCAACTGTTAGTGTTTTTGAATGTTTAGTTTTATTAAGTTACATACCTCGCATTGTTTGAATTTGTCAATAAATTTTATGAACGTCAGAATTGAAATATAATTTCATACACTATTGAGAAAACAGCATAAATGTAAATGTCCTGCTGATGAATTAATGAATTGTGGGAATCCTGAAGAAAATTGATTTCATTTATTCAATTTTCCATTGGAAATTTTAACCATTCTCTTATGGAAGGGTACTATACGGCCTGGATGGAAAATTAATTCGAGGACTAGAAAAATTTGTAAGGTAGGTACTTACATACATTGAAATTCACTTCTTATAACAGCAGATTAGAATGAAACTATATTTTAGGCCCATTTTCAAACAGAATATTTTAAGATCCGTTAGAGAGAATCTGCTGTTCCATCCATTTATAAAACTAGTTTGAGTACAGTTTTACATACAATGAACTAGCTATAAGTATATCCTTATGTGTATGTTGTTACATGCATTATTTTCATTTTTATAACTGTTCTTTGAAAAGTGTATTGCTATAAATTATTGAAGTGGGCGTTTATACCCTATTTCCATTTTTCATCTACGGCGCTACTAGGGAAGTTGAAATGACAAAGAGCCGACTATATTTCTTATTCTTTCCTTCACTCAAACCATTGTAATATAGAAAATAGAAAAGGACAGAAGTTCAGCTGTGTCCGAACTGTTATGTAACTGATACTATCTAGTGGCTTTAGTCTGGTGTATCCAATACAATTGAAAGTTTTTTTTATCGAAATAATGTCATGTGCGGATGCATAGTCATAGAATACCCGACCTCATAATTATCAATTTCAATAAGTAATATGGCTGAAGAAATTTGATAAAAAATATTCTCGATCCGTTTACACGCATTTGAAGTGATTTAAACATAGTCAATAACATTGGAAAATGTTCGCCACATTTTCAAAAATGGGGCCTGCATTTATAGGTTTCAATTTGTGAAATAAATACAATTTGTTTCATTAGTTATGTGTATGATTTTATGTTATGGTACCATATAAAAAAAAATAATAAATGGATACTTTGAAACACAATTGATATACTACTTGGTGGCGACATCGTAAGAATTAGACCCCGGCGAAAGTGAGTATAAATTCGGCACTGTCGATGTTGGTTTCGGTAGATTTGATGTGACTGAATCCTTACACGCCTATATTGTCTTGCGTCATTCTTTTCTAATAGTAAGCAAGTATCACTTCACTCATTGGATACAGTAATAATGCACCATTTGTAATATAAATGGATCGACCACTGCCCAATCATATACAGATATGCTGCATTAGTTTTTGCTCACTGTATGTGTAGTACTTGAACTCGATGTGTTTCATCTTACATACAACCCCTCTAAAGATCCAATAATAATATATATCTATCTCTACTGGATCCTGTCCTTGCCTTACCGTCTTGTACAAAGAGCATTGATGGTCACGTAAAAAAAGAAATGGATCATCGGTATAACTGGATGTGCAACAAAGAAAAATATAATTCTACCCAACCATCAGCTGGTAGCTGCTCGTTGCCTCTCTCTCTTTTGTCCAATTGATTGGTTGGTTATTTGGTTATGTGCATCTTGCTTTTGGCGCGATAAATGTTCGATTTGAAATTTCATAGTCAAATTAATTATTGTTAGTGAAATAAAAACAAAAAATTAAGCAAATAGATAGATTGAATACTCAAAGTCATTTCTACAAATGTGATGAACATTAAATTTCTTCCTCCCGAAATCTATGTTTCGATTCTTGCGAACGAAGACTCATGTATGTGTTTCTTCCCTTAATACCGATTGAGTTCGATTTAGCCAATTTAACGCTAGACACCTACAGACAGAACAGTTTCGGACTTTTGGCCCTCATCAGTGTAGGTTAGTCTCCAGCTGTCCTGTGACCGCCAGATAATGCCAAAAAAATAAGATCGGCATGTTATTCCCTCCGAGGTGTCTCTCCCATAAGCAACATGGGTGTAATGCCATTTAGAGTAGAAGGAAAGAAACAGTCTGAACCTGAAATTCCCATATCGGTGAGAAATAGGAGTGGCTGGCAGATTGCCCGACTGGCGTAATTTCAACTACGAAAAAGACAAAATGCTCAAAGTAGAATGAAATGTTGAATAAATAGATACAAAACAAAATTAACAACAATAGAAGATGACGGAAGAAAAACAAATACTTTCCAACTACTAGATGGCGTTACACCCATGTTGCCTATGGTAGAAGCTTCGGAGGTAATAATATGCCGATCTAATGTTTGTTGGACAAGATTACGCTTAGCTGGTGGTCTTATAACTTATAAGGACTGCTAGATGGAGACTTTCCTACACTGATGAGGGCGAAAAGTCCAAAACTGGTTTGTAGGTGTCTAGCGGTAACCTGGCTAAATCTAAAGCAATCGGCATTAAAGAAAGAAACACTTACACCAGTATTCGTTTATACGAATCCATGGATAGATTTCGGGAGAATGTAATTCAATGTTCTGCGTGGCATTATCCAGGAAAGTAGTTTTTCTTCTCCTGTCACCTACCATTGTTATTCATTTTATGAACATTTCTGGAAACGACTTTGAGTTTTGTATCTATGCATTCAACATTTCATTCCACTTTGAGCAGTCTGACTTTTTCGTTGTTTAAAAAAATGTATATTTTTGCTCTAGCACACTTATAGATTGGTGAACTCTCTCTCTCTCTCTCCAGGCACTATCTAGGAGTTTATTGTTATTAGATCATTGAACCTCCCCCCCCCCCTATTACATAAACATTCTACTGTTTTTTACACTGGAAACCAATAAGTTCCTTATTTCTTTCACAGAGAAAGGGAAAGGGAGCATCAGAGACAAGAATTGTGGAACAAAGTTGAAACTCTGGCCTCTCGAAAGCCAGAATACGAGATACTGAATGCAAGAAATCATAATATCAGCCATATGCTTACAAGTCCGGATGCTGATGAAGAAATCAACTTGGACAACATTGATGTGAAAACAGAAGATGTGAGTTAATGATTCTTTTTTTATTTTTCGTTTTTGTTTTTCTAAATATTATTTGAGGTGATTTTGTATTTGTAGGTCAAAAAGGCACGTAACACTACCAAACCATTGATACGTCGCAAATCTGAGTTGCCACAAGATCAGTACACCATAAGGGCATTATCAGATCACAAAAGAACTGATGAATTTCTTGTGACACCTCCTGACGTAAACAAGTGCTAGTCTTTTCTCACACTTGGTGAGCTTAGTGCCAACATAATACACACACTTGATTTAGCCTTGTTTTGAAAGAAAATCACCATGCATGTATATTTATTTATTTTTTGTTGTCGAAACCTGTTTGTAATATTAAGAACAGTGTGTAAATAATTTTAAATCTGCAAACGGTTTCTGAGTACATGACGAAAAGTGAAATAGGACGAATTATTTCCAAATGTATGTTGTTACGTTTTAAAATATTTTTTTTTATTAATAAAATGTGAGAAGTGAAAATGAGGGCTTGATTCCTAATCAGCTATATAATATGTTATTGTTTTGTTTGAAATGACGAATGAGGGCTAATATTGATATTTTCAGTCACTCCATTTGGCGTTACTAGAGCGTGAGGTCTATGTTTTTTCTGTTTTTTTTTATCGCTTGGGAATCCCTATAATGTACCTGGTAAAACAGTCCCAAAATATTGCTGAACAGCCCTGAAGACTGAAACATGGTTATTTCAAATATTTTGTGAAACAATTGTGTGGCCTATGTAACTAAATTGAAAAACTTCGATTATGGTAAAACTTGAGCAGGCTTGCGTTTTTACCTCCAATGTGTAATTCTACGAGCATTTTTTTACATTAACAGAGAAGATGACGAAGAAAATGAAGAAGTATACCTATCAGTTCTACCAACTTTGACCTCACGTGTCAGTAGCGCGATCTGGTGGACAATCAAAATATGTTATCCTTCATTTGCATCCTGGTCATTATCGTACAAAAAATCGAGCCCCCACTTCTAGTGTCATAACTTGAAATAGGTCGAAAAGCAAGAAAGAATTTGAAATTTCGCATTTTCAAAAATAACATCATGAAAATAATATTCGGAATTTGAAAATTTTAGTTTTTGCGTGACAACTGTACCTTAGATTAGAGTGCCTCGAACATCTCATTTCACTCCCTTTAAATAGTGTGGATACGCTTGTCACCACTGACAAATCGGAATCGTCATCATATGTCTTCATTCTCAGATTTATTAAGAAAATGTCTTATTTTGATCCCAACAATTTGTCCTTAAATCGAATTTTTAATCAAAATTTTGAGAATGATGGTTTACATTTATTTGAGTCGCCCAAAGGCGAGACATTTCATCCAGTGTTCGTTGAAACTTCAAATTCTAATATTTATTTCATGGAAATATATTCATTGACATACTATTGATATAACTACACAAAGAACATTATGTTACGCCAATGTTAGGGATACAAATTAAAATATGTCTGCACTCGTTCAATGAAGGGGTACGAAAAAATGATATTTCATCTCTTATTAAACATATTTGTGTCTCATGTTTTTTGTTCAGATGTTCAACAATATGACAAGTGTGTCCACACTCTTTGAAGAACAGAAAATGAGATATTCGAGGAACTCCCTTAGATATCTTTTAAAATGTACGAAATGATATAAAACAGGCGTTAGTACATGAGATGTCGCAAACGTTACAACAAAAAATTAGCGAACATGAAACCTAGGTAATAAAAGAAAAATGATGACTTTCATATTACATTGACAGTGGGGTTCGTTTAAGTGCTGAATTACTCGCTCGTAATTAGATCATCGTTCACGCTGTTTCGATTCTGTCAAATGATTCGGATCCCACTAAAGGACCACGTGCACTGAATCGACGGTCGGTACATCAACTTATACCGCGCACTGAATCGGCAGTATCGGCACATTGAGCATGTCTTCAGCAGCCATTTAGTACAAACTAATTTTCATGAACTAGAAAATTAGTTCAACTGAATCCGAGGAAGATATTGGGATTGCCTTAACATGCGAAGAGATAAAAAAAACTGAAACCAAGGTTCTGAACCCTAACATCAATCGCGAGATCAATCTCCAAAGAGAAACGACCTATGGAACCGTATGGAACCTATATGAATGTTGTCGTGGTAGTACCGTTTTCTATCGCCCGAGATAACTTAATTTGCATCTTCGTTCATAGTTCATACACCTCTTTGTCCCAAAAACCGAACAAGCAGTGAGAGCAATCGGCAATTTCGGCAGTTTTTGCCCCTACGAGAATTCTCTGCCGATGCCGAGACGATCCTGCCGATCTGAGCCGACCGAACCGATTCAGCATAGCAAAACGTGCCGACCGTGCCGAGCCGAGTCGACCGATCAGAGTCGATTCAGTGCGCGTCCTCCTTAAGCTGTATGTCCCACATTTTCAAGCTCACACAAGTTTGGGCTTTCTGGGAGTTGATTTTCTTTTTATGAAACTGATTGCTGTGATCAGAGTAGATATACCCATCAAAAGCGCTGAGTTGTGAACTTTCCAATGTTTTTCGATTTAAGATACAGAGAGTTGACTCTCGATGGTATTTCTTAAAGAATAACCTGAAGGATACCAAGGAGCAATTTAATATAAACATTCGTCTTTTGAGGTCTATCGAGGATGGCAATCCATTTTATACATGTCAAAATGAGTACTTAGGCATTTCTCAACATTATTGTGGTAATCAAGAAAACAAAGCTTTCTCTCGTAAATACTATTGGAACTACACTTCTAGGGATTTAAATTCATGCATTTTTCTACCTGATCTGCAATTTTTGAGTTTTTTCACTTTCCACTTCCACTTTTGAAGTGAGGGGCGAATCATAATTTCATTTTTATAGTGCCCGTCATGAATTATCTCAACATATGGAAAAAAGTTAATTATTTGAGTATTAGGAAAATCATTCTAGATAATCAATGTCCAAAAGCCATAAAATCGATTTTGACAGATCACTGGTAGTTACAAAGATCTAAAATTTTTTTGCAAGTTAGCAAAATAATGTTTTGGTACTTTAATCGAATTATTGCTTGAAACTCTCTAAATAACGTCAGAATCGTTTTGTTGGACATGAACAGTCGATCACCTATAACTTTTCAAATAAACTATTTCGTATAATTATGTAACTTACTTTATGGCAGACACTGTACAGAGTGTTCGACTAAAAACGAAACTGACTAATAACTTCCTGAACAATGTTTCTCTTCTATCCCAAATTGTCATCATCACTTCCCCCATTTTCGCTGACCAATAATATTTGACTCATGAAGATAATATAGTCATTTTGTCTGGAATCCAACCACGCAAACCTGGTAAACTTTATTATGACGTCACGGTTTACGGTGAAGCTTGACAGATTTCAGTTGTTTTTATCTATTTGTTATTTTCCTGTTTGGTTTTAGCAGTAATATATTGAATGAGAAATGCATCTGTAACAAAAATATATCATAGGTACTTATATTTCTATTTCCAATCTAAGAAAATTAGATCAATTCGCTACTTACCTATTTTCAATGAATCAAATATTCATAATCATTTCTTTAAATAGTGTAATTTCTTTTTTCATCAATTATAACCTCAGATTATTTCACCTACAACAATAACCCAATCTAGAGCCCAATCACAATCAAAAGCCTTGACTACTGTGAACTACCTCAGTGAGCTGGTTTGTATGGTTGTTTAACTATTGTGTGATAGTTTGGAATACACTTCCAGGAAAATTGACTGGTCAACTTATTGATGGCCCAGTTTGTGTGGTTGACTTCGAGGAAAAATGGCTTATGTATTTGTGTAATGTTTGACATGCCATTGGCTTTCAAACCTGATCGAAGCTTGCTCAGAACTGGTGGTGCGATTCTCATTACTTCTAATCATCGGTTGGATGTTTGATTATGGATATTCATCACCTTTTTGGAAGTTTATTCTTGAATTCATAAATTCTTCGGATACAAGTCATAATGGAGAATCAATTAAAATAACTCTGTAATAAAACAGAATTCATCGAATATTCAAACAAACCAACAAAGTTCTCTGCAGAGAACAAAATTTCGAATAGATTTGGCGGTCCTTATAGTGATCAGTTTTAATATTTTTATCAAATCACATTTTAGTTATGTGCTATACATAATACCAGAAGTGGTAAAAATTTGAAGGTAGAAGAAAGATGATTTTTTTTAACAAACTGGAAGTTATTCATTCTTTTTCCTTTTCGATAGCCCACTTTGTATTACAACATAATATGTTGGCTACCAAAAACTGAATAACATGAATCATGTTAGTTATTAATATAGAGTCGTTTCTTGTGAATGGGTAGTGGGCCTCAAATCGACAGACAGGGTTTTCGCTTTTTTTTTTTTCGTTAGGCACACATTCTATTTTCTGGAAGAAATAGGGCGTTTCATTAGTTGATGGAGTTTTTGTTTTCGTTTTTTTGTAAATCTAGGAGTCTTGTATTGTTCGTTGATCATACACAATGCCAATGAGAACATAGTTATAAATTCTACGATCATTGTATTGAACGGTTTTTGATGAGTTGCCCGTTTTCAAGAGTGAGGTTGAAAATATGTGATTATCCAGACAGAGCCTTTGGTGCTCTCGAACGATTTTATACTAGACAAGGCTCTACACAAGAATCCTAATTCCCAGTCACCAGTTGAGGTACACATTGATGATCCTAGTCACAAAATACAAATTTTTGAAAGTAATTGTTTCAAACTGAAATTATCACGAATGTATTCCCTAAAATATTCAGAAAGTATCCTAACAGGAGATAAAAGTATCAACTCAATTAAATTAGCATATATTTTGATAAGAATATCTAACTTAGAGATTATACACTATAATCTCTGCTTCTTATGGTTTATCTATTTACGATAAAATCAAATCCAATTACATGATTGAAAATAACACTTACACAATATGAAACCGCCTTTATTTCACCTCCCATTTTTATATATTCTTTAATATTAATTCAATTAAGTTTTGTCACCGGATATGATAAATATTTTGTGTATTCTCGAATATTTCTGATTTGATCAACACTGATAAGCAAGTGATGTTTCGTCCAGTTTATAATGAAAGAAATAAGATTTCAACTTGTTCTAGTATCCAAGACTTCAGAGCGCATTTTCAATTACAAACATTTTTCAAATGACTATAATATATAACAAGACCCCAGATGGTAATGAAATATTGTTCCTAGTTTTTACGCTTGAATCAAAATTGTGCACATATGTTCCAAATTTAATAGTAGTGCGGCAATTAAGCTAGAATATCCCATTGAATTGTGCACTTCGTGATATATGCACCAAATGTGGCACTGAGGTAGACCGATATAATATGAAAAGATATTGATGTGAAGCCATCGAACAACTGTTCCCTGGCGACCGCCTGAAAGCCATCAGCAGTTAGATAAAGTTTGCTGCTGAAGGTTTGTGGATGTTTATTGAATGATTTTAATAAAATTATTATGTATTTTCATAAGTTAAATAGCGTTTGTCCACGTAGTGTGGAAAAATTCTATAGCTCCATTGAAATAAGAAATGAAAAAAATCTTCTTGATGGGGAAGTACAATATCGGTAGGTATGTTTGAAGCAATATGATTCTGATCTCTACAGGATGTTTTTTAAACGCGGGACTACAAGATTGATGATTCTTCTATGGTACACCTTGTATTTTTCCACATATACTGTTTAATGGTTATCTCGCCTACACAACTCTGTCTTATTTTTGCAATTCGTTTGTGGCGTTGCAAAAATTATAATACGCAAAAATTCCAATCTAAATGTATGCCTGAACTCTATGATACTTTGACTACCGATTCAATGAAGTGATAATTGAAAGTTATCTTATTAATTAATGCACTGTCAAAAGTTGAATTTTTCCAACGGTTATAACTTTCTTACTTCAAAACTGCATTTTTACTCTGCTTCTTGACAGAACATAACCTGAAACCGATATAAACAAGGCACGTCGCAAACTATTTGCAAAGAAAAGCAACGTCCAGCTAATTCCACCGATAAGGGCATTCCTGCAGCGGCACGTTAGGAGAGCAGTATATCAGGGCGGACATGTCTGGGGTCAGGCATTGGTTCTTGCACCAACACTGCCATCCCTAACCGAATGGGGTTGGATCGAGAGCAGCGGTGTGTATAAACCTCTCTGGATAACGATACTCGAAGTATCCAAGATTTGAAGGGAGCTCACCTCTTGCAAATACAAATACTGTACCAAAAATGCAAGTGGAAGGAGGCTGGTCGGAAATACACACAACAATGTCCTTGCGACAGGTAGTACTCTGAGAAGTGAGAACTGAAGTCGCAATCTTTAAATCAAAATAATATTGTTCCAAAGACCGATATTGTACTATATCCCCAAACAAATTTTCTCTATATCTCAGTGGAATGGTGCTATAAAAATTTTCCGCACCACGTGTAGATAACTTATGAACATATTAATTTCATTTGAAACATTCAATAAACATTCACAAACCTTCAGCAGCACATTTAATCTAACTCTGATGTCATTCGGGCGGCCATTTTGAAAAATGGCCACGACGGCCGCCAGGGAGCAGTTGGCCTGTGGTTCCACATCCAAATCTGTTCATGTTATATATGTCTATCTCTGTGCCAGATTTGGTGCCTTCAAAAAGTGCACAATAGTTTAGCTAATCTGATGTACTATAGTGGCATGAAGATAAACAAATCATCATCTCGATTCAATCTTTCTTTGCAATTTGAATCGAGAATTGGATTATAATTTTTGAGTGAATATGGAAGTTTGGCCGATAACTTTGAATTATCAAAAAAAAAACTGTTCACCCAGTGACACTCACTACCTTTGGAAATTCTGTATTTTGGATAGGCATTCCCCTGTATCAAATGAACAGTAGTGGCAAAGTGGTTAACCACAATTGCAGGTTGTGAAGAACTAAATACTAAACGGGGAAACATTACTCGCTATACAGGGTGCCTCAATCAGGTGTTACTTTTCCAATTTCAACAATCAAAAGGAAAATCTAAGATATTGCATATGTGTTTTGTCCAGCAGAAAATGGTTTGGATATACGGGGTGTGATTCCAGATTCGTTCAAGAAATACTGGTTGATTGTCGAAGGTAAAAAATTTTCAACTGGTTTCAAATGCGGGACAATTTGAACAATTCTTTTTTCAAGTGAGACGTCCTATATTTTTTTACTCAAAATTATTGATACTATACAGATGGGACAGCTTTGATGACCCCTTTCAAAATAGTTGCACCTAATACAGGGGGAAAATTCTACCGCTGATGATTTCATACATTTTCCTACGATATACATTGCAATATCCAGAAATAGTAAGGGAATTTTTGTGGCATATTTATATGAACAAGAAGCTTATGTATAGAACAATTAACAGAGAGATATACCGGGCAATTCTCTAAGGTGGTTCACCACTATAACTTTTTTATTATTGAAGATGAAAAAACGAATTTTGAAGGTTGTGTATTATAGTTCAATTTACATTTTTTAACATGTTTAATTAAATTGCAGTACTTCCGGTTTGGCCAAAAATGAACCCAAATTTCGATTTTTAAATGAAACATCCTATATATTTCCACTTACTTTGATAGAGATTCACATTCTAAATTCGATAACTCACTTGTCAATATTTTACAAATGAAGTCATTTTTATTCCAATTTTAATTTTTCGATCTAGAATGCCATGTATTCGAATTCTCGATCGAAATCAGTGAAGATATATAGGATGTCCAATTAAATAAACGAAAGTTGGGATAATTTTTGTTCAAACCGGAAGTACGATAAAGCAAGTAAATATATAAAAAAAATGTAAGATATTGAAATAGGATACACATCCCCGCAAATTATGTTTTTCTATCTCCAATAATGAAAAAGTTATAGGGGTGAGCCACCTTGGAGAATCACCCTGTATCTTGAAGTAAATATAACACTCCGCACATGCGCATACAAATTTGTTTCTGGCGGGAAGCCTAGCTTTCGCATCTGTATGGTTGAGTATCTGTGATGTAGCTGAAAACATTGAATGCAATCAGGCTGATCAATAATGTATTATAAAACAACCAAAGACCATTTGCAGAATTTGTAATAATCAAAAAAACGGTAAATTTTTTTACGTTATGCATGTCTTGGAGCCATATAATAGACATAAAAATATAGAAATATGTATGGCACTTGCTTTAAGTGTGTCGACTATATTGAATATAAGTAAATTGTTAGTAACATCATTAGTGTCGTAATTCTGAGTACATTCAATAACTAGTATTAAGAAGATATTTTTGTTCAAATAATGGGAAGAATGTATATATGGAGTAGGAGTTGATATTATGTCTCGGACAGTATTTTTTTAATGTACAGCTTTGCTTTGTCAATGATTTCTGAATATAAATACGTTATTAGATATTAAAAATATATTACATGATTATATTTGTTATTTATTCTTCAGCATCCTCCGCTAAGCCTTCGGGCTATGGTTATCAGTGGCGGCTAAACTGAGGAGACAACGGAGGCTGAGCCTCATCAGAGATTCTCCTTAAACTGATATTATCTATACTTTCCCATTGAAAGGACACCAAAATACATGGATTTTGATTTTATTACCTGTCTTCAGGTAAATATTTTTGAATTGGCAACAGTGCTTGCCCGCCCATCACACGTTGAAGTTTGCAAATCACGCGTAAAATATTCAACTTGGCAACATCTATAGGAGGCTAGACTCCTTCACAACTCGTAACCCACGCGCGCAATGCAAATGTCCGAATAGCACGTGTTGTCGTGTTGCGTCGCGAATTGCGGACAATCCAGCGCGAGTAAATTTTTATGTTTATGTTAGGTTAATGGTTAGGGGCTCTGTAAATTTCTGAAAAATGAGTGTTTTAAACGATTCCGATTTAGTGGAATACTTTTTTGTGAACCCATTCAGTGCTTTGTCTTATGAAGAGGTAAGGAATAAGCTATTTTGTTGGTACTGCGTATTATTTTCAACCGATAAGTCATCATGTTGGGGGCGATTAGGATATAATGATTTGAAAAATTTGCCTCGCGGATTGGATAGACGCTGCAAATCACAGGAACACATATCTTCAAGTATCAAGTTCAGGTTAATGGTAAACAGAATGTCATTGAAACTATTGATCTGGGTCAGCCGTAGAGAGTTGTTTTTCACAATAAATCTCATATCATTCAGCCTCCTCTGTCATGAAAGTCACGAGCCGCCACTGATGGTATGAATGATAACAGATTTCACCTACGTTTATTCGTTTGAGCTGTGTCACCCTGTACAATAGGAACGAAAAAGTTGAATGAATGATTTCCACTAACTTAAAAAAACCAATATATTTCGAAAAATTATGTTTAACAAATACAAACATTCAAGCAGAAAAGCATTTTCTATTCAGAAATGGAGTTGGTCCAAATCAAGGTCCTGCATTTTCTTGACATCACAATGCAATCAAGGCATATGAATGATAAAAATGGTCTCAATTCTTGATCAACTTTCAATTAATATCACTATCATGCAGTAATTTTTTAAAACATCAATAACCTAAATCGAATTTGCTAACAGAATTGAACACATCCATTAAAACAACATTAAATAAATAGTTAAACTCATGTTGAACTACACTATTCTAGCATCAATAAGTTGATATCTACGATCTATTTCTAGAATATGTGATTCACGTTTTCTACCAGAAATAGTATCAAAACAACATTTATTATTATGTAATGCTTATCACAGATAAATAAAAACAATGAAAGAGTATTGAAATACAACGAAAATGTATCGAAAAACAACTGGAATGTGGAGTTTAGATTGATACATCACCATACTGCAGGGACCACTTTTCATAAGCCACAAGGCTTTGAGGTGACACACTCCGCCGAATCCGCTTCAAAGAATCTAAGAAGTCGTTTATGGTAATACTGCGAACGGCACTTGGATCCATTTCTCTCACTTGTTCTGGCTGAAGCTCTGAAAACAGCGGAATTATTAATTTAAAAACTACAAATTATAAGATATGTATACACAAGTTTCTCCAAAACCCTACATGTTTGGCTAACACAGTAGTAGACAGTAGCTTCTTCAAGTGGAGTACTACTTCAATACATTAACATAACACTGACATATTAACATGAATAAAGTGATTGTAATTACTAAAGAAAACAAAGGGAATCGTTGAGGTCTAGTTAATCTTCTAGTGAAATGTTGAGATTGCGTTTGTTGATTTCTAATAATTTCTAATTATCAAGTTATTCGATTCATTTCTCTCTTTTTCACAAATAATATTTCGAAATTTCCATGATTTTCTTTCGTAAAAATCTCATTTGAAAATTATTCACTTTTTGTTTGACAAAATGTTTGCAGGGAAAAAAATCTGACATTATTATCTCAGTTGACACGTTGACAGCTATCAAAATTTCACTTTTTATAAAATCCCTTTTTTTCTCGGTATCTGGTGTCTGAATAACATCGAAATTGAAGTGTGATTTTGTGATGAAAATCAAGGTGGGTACTTGGTATACATTTTTTTGAAAAACCTTTCCTTGGAACAGTTACACCCCTCCGAGAATATAAAAAAAGTTTTTTTTTATTTTCCCTGTATATTTAGCTAAATACACTAAACATGGTTAATAATATATGTCAATGCATTTTGGAATAATATCAACCCCGAAGTATGCTTAGAGGAGGCTGAAAAAGTCAACCCCATAAGATATTTTTTCTCTCAACTAATTTTTTATGAAATTTTTTCTTTTGAAAAAACATGTCTGTAAAGCCGAATTCATTTACTTATTTTTTCATCTCTACAGCTTTTTTCGATAACTTGAGCATTCAGGAGAGAATGAAAAAGAAAACATTATTCTTCTCGAGGTGTAACTTTCCGGGGAGAGGTCTTTCAAAGAATTTTATACCAAACACTCATCATAGTTTTCATCACACATTCACCCCTTGGACTTTTTCTGTGTTATTTAGATACACCGTGTATATACACTGTTAAGTTGAGGGCGTTTGTTGCTGCGTTAGTTCCAAAAAATAAGCCGATAACACCGTCTCCGCGAGAAAGAACTGCATGTGTTTTTCATCTTCCATTCTATTCCATACATCTTGAATACTTTTCTAAACTACTAAACAACTACCAAGTTTGCAATATTTGAATCAAATCACAGAATTAAATTGACAAATATTTCCTTGATATTAGATTACTTCAAAAGGTTTCCTTAGCAATTCCTCAGAACCGCCAAGGACACAACTTTGAGATACCTTGTTCAGTTTGCCCAAGAACATATATTGGCCAAACAAATAGACGCGTTACCAGCAGAGTTTACGAACATCAACATGCAGTCTGAAAATCAGAACCTTCCTCGGCACTCTTCAAACATTAAGAAGAAACAGGCCACTCAATAAATTTCGAAAACGCCAAAACAATCGCCACCGAAAGAACTCTGCATACAAAGATAATCCACGAAGCCCTTGAGATAGAGAAGCGACCTGATTGCCTCAATACTCGCGACGACGGCCGCAGACTTTCTAGCACTTGGAAACCTCTCATTTCCCGCCTTTCCACATCTTGCGCCATAACAAACCACGCTCCTAGTTCCGCTCCAATGACCACCACATCCACTATAAATACCGCTCCACCACCCACACCCTCAGTTCTCTCCAAGGAGTAGGCAGATTGAGAAAAATCACTCCCTATATTTTCCTATAACCCTTTTATTTCTATTTTTCAGTTCTTGAAAATGGCTCAAAAATCGGTTCCGAAACGTCGAACATCTACAGATTCTAAATGCGATTCCTAGTTTTCATATATATATATATATAGAAGGGAAGTCGTTGCTGACCAGTAGGAAGAAAACTAATGTATTGGGGAATGCAGCAAGTAAAAGCGAAACTCTTTAAAGTTTATCCAAGCTTTCGGAAATGTTTATTTCCTTCTTCAGGGATGCTACAATGATATATCATATTAATGTGCACAAAAATAGATAATATAAATATACATACATCTTTGTTGAGATTAATTACATGGATGTTATAAGATGATAGACATATCATTACACATGGTGCCATCAGTAGGAATAAAAAATCTCCACAATAGTCAAGGCAATAAAAAAGGCAAAATACTGACATTTAGAAATTTGTAAAAAGACCAGACGAAATAATTAACATTTTAAAAAATTATTCACATCCGTGGTTTTCCAGCATGGATGTGAATAATTTTTTAAAATGTTAATTATTTCGTCTGGTCTTTTTACAAATTTCTAAATGTCAGTATTTTGCCTTTTTTATTGCCTTGACTATTGTGGAGATTTTTATTCCTACTGATGGCACCATGTGTAATGATATGTCTATCATCTTATAACATCCATGTAATTAATCTCAACAAAGATGTATGTATATTTATATTATCTATTTTTGTGCACATTAATATGATATATCATTGTAGCATCCCTGAAGAAGGAAATAAACATTTCCGAAAGCTTGGATAAACTTTAAAGAGTTTCGCTTTTACTTGCTGCATTCCCCAATACATTAGTTTTATATATATATATATATATATAAAATATTGTAGGTTTAATCCGTTCCGTGAGTGGAATGTCAATTGGTGCAAGACAGTCTGTTTCAGCTCGCCAAGCATCATCAGTTGCACTAGGCCAATCGACAATCCACTCACGGACCGGTCACTATTTGAAGACCAACAGGTAGTCTTCAACAGTGCGGAATACGGATGTTTGGTACAGTGCCACCTACTAGCACTAGACAGAAACGTGCTTTTCGGGCAGCGACGTAGGAGTACAGATATCTCTGTTACTACACCTACGTGCCCCGAGTGCACCTCGATAGTGTGGTATGGACCACAAACAGAGTAAAGAAGAAGAAGAAAGATAGTGTGTATGAACACAGAGCCAGAGTATGAAGTAAAAGATTGTAGGTTTAATCCGTTCCATGAGTGGAATGTCAATTGGTGCAAGACAGTCTGTTTCAGCTCGCCAAGCATCATCAGTTGCACTAGGCCAATCGACAATCCACTCACGGACCGGTCACTATTTGAAGACCAACAGGTAGTCTTCAACAGTGCGGAATACGGATGTTTGGTACAGTGCCACCTGTTGGTCTTCAAATAGTGACCGGTCCGTGAGTGGATTGTCGATTGGCCTAGTGCAACTGATGATGCTTGGCGAGCTGAAACAGACTGTCTTGCACCAATTGACATTCCACTCACGGAACGGATTAAACCTACAATCTTTTACTTCATACTCTGGCTCTGTGTTCATACACACTATCTTTCTTCTTCTTCTTTACTCTGTTTGTGGTCCATACCACACTATCGAGGTGCACTCGGGGCACGTAGGTGTAGTAACAGAGATATCTGTACTCCTACGTCGCTGCCCGAAAAGCACGTTTCTGTCTAGTGCTAGTAGGTGGCACTGTACCAAACATCCGTATTCCGCACTGTTGAAGACTACCTGTTGGTCTTCAAATAGTGACCGGTCCGTGAGTGGATTGTCGATTGGCCTAGTGCAACTGATGATGCTTGGCGAGCTGAAACAGACTGTCTTGCACCAATTGACATTCCACTCACGGAACGGATTAAACCTACAATCTTTTACTTCATACTCTGGCTCTGTGTTCATACACACTATCTTTCTTCTTCTATATATATATATATATATGTATAAAATTCAATGACAAAATATGCAGATTTCACTCGATTAAATAAATAAATAATATTCATATACATATAATTATTATTAATCTAGGGATATGATCGAATGTTTTTTATTTGAAGACCCTTACCTCTTATTGGTCCAAGTGCTGCATCTTTGGCAAGAGCAGTCAAATCACTTCCTGAATACCCTTCGGTCAGTGTCGCCAACCTCTTCAGCTCTTGCTGGGTGAGAGTACAACATTGTTTGGCCAGCAACTTTTTCAACAACTGCCCTCTAGTGTCGAGATCTGGAAGCGTTACATACACTCTTTTTGTGAATCTTCTCAAAGCTGCCTCGTCTAGTTCCTGTGGTCTATTAGTTGCTGCCATTACTAAAACCTAAAAATAATCTGTCTATCACGGTCTATATGTATTGGTGTTTGGTGTCCTATTACTTTTTCATTCTCCGGATTACTGGGTAAGCCATCAAATTCCACCAAAAATTCGGTTTTCAGTCTCCTACTAGCTTCATGTTCATTATTTGATCTCTCCGATAAGAGAGAATCAACTTCATCGATGAATATGATGGAAGGTTGCAATTCTCGTGCCATTGCGAATAGGGCTCGCACCATTTTTTCTCCATCCCCGACATATTTAGATGTGAGGCTGGCTGCACTTATTGAAAAGAATGTAGCCTGTAATGAAAAAATCGTTTTTTTCTGCAACCGATCCAGTAGTTTCGGAGCCTATTCAATAAATACAAACAAACAATGAAATATTTCCTCTTTATAATATTAGTATAGATAAGACAAGACTTGGAATGAATAGTATGTCTGCTCACAAGTATCTGTCACTTTCAGTGAATTTTTTTGGTTTTGGAATGAAAAATCAGCAGATTCAGTACTGTCAGTTGAATTCGGAATATAGCCATACACAAAACCTCAAAACAGCAGGGTCAAGAACATTGAAGAACTCTAGCCTAACCTAGGGTCCCTTGATGCAAACTGACGTATTTGTCATCTAACAGGGTACATACAAATCATAGCTCCTTTCTCTTTTAATCATCTAGTGACTTTGGTTTCGTGTATTAGCGTCCCTGACATGACATTGCTGTCACGTCACATTCATAGGCGTTAAAGAGATCTTACAAAATTTTGATTTCATACTTTATCATAATATGACATTATTCAATTATGTTTTGGAAGGGTGGTAAAATGTGCTGTTAGGCTGTATCAATCAGTTGGATCGCAAATTTGAATTTGTCAGTTTTCCATCAAATGCAAATGAACTTAGAACATGGAAAGTGAAGTGATCAAATGGGGAAAATTGATAAATACATCAGAAAAATATTCAAGGTAAAACTAATACAAAATCACATATTATACTTTCCCATTGTGCCTACAATTATCCACTCCACAAGTTTTTGAATGCATTTTAGTAGAAACAGTTTTGATAAAAACGGATGATTAAAAGAAGAGGCATATGCCCTATCTTTCAATAAAGTATACCTACATTCAGGAAATATTAAGTGTTCCTGAAAAACTGCAAAAATGATTCCTAACATGAATATATTCAGCACATATGGCATATGAGCACATTAGTTTGAATACCTACACACAATTTTTCACAATTTCTCAACCATAAGGCTGAAATCAAAATTCATTTATTGATTTGGTAAAAGGTATTAAACTTTCATAAAAATTTGCTCACTGCCTCACAAAGATTATTCTGGAGTTGAAAAATAAAAAACCCGAAAATTATCATCATCATTTGGATATAATATGTAGAGTCGAATGAGAAATTACATGTGGAAATTACGTATGATACGCCAATGTCCTCAATATAACCTAAAAAACAACGAATGTCAAAAATTTAGTGTTTATCCCCAGAATTTAATAAGAATGGAACTATATAACTGTTTCACAAAAACACCACAGTTAGAGGAGACGAGGATCTGTCCGTACCGCGATTTTACTAAATATACTACACGCTAGCACAAACCACGCCCACCGTAATACGTCATATCTCCAAACATCACCGATATACTCGGAGTCAGCACATCGCACTAAATATACTGTGCTCCAACGCGAGAATTCACTTTTTATGATTTTGACACGAATTCGACTGAAGCTCTCTCGCTGTCAATCTCTTGTATGCAGTAAATTTATACAGTGTGTCCCACTTACCATGCTCACCATGGGTATCTTTTTAACGGTGAGAGATACGAGGTCGGTTAAATGACACCAAATGTGGAGTTTGTCAAGGCCAATTATAATGTTAAAAAATTGTTTGATAAAATCTTTTCGTTTTTGTTTTTTACGCAAAAAACAGATTTTGATCATTCTCATGTCTCCTCTGTAACTTCTTTATTTATGAAAATATTCAAATAGGAATTTCACATTCTCATGGCAGTTTTTCAAAGTGATTTCGAAAAAAATATGAAATTTATACCAACTCTTCTAGAATTTGAGATATCAGCACCAACTTCAGTTTTTCAAATGTAGGTCATAGCTCACTATGACTTATTTACAAATAACTTTTTTGTCTCTTACAGATGATATGTCGCAGTAATAGTTTTGTGTTGATAACAACGGAGTTATCGTCATTTATACAAAAACAAAAAATTATTTGGAAGCCGCCATCTTGAATTTATGAATTTTAACAAAATGATCATGATCTCCGACCTCGAAAACCCCCACTTACCAATTTTGAATGGAATCGGACCAAATCTTGTCCGCCATCTTGGAGCAGCCATTTTTTTTAATTTCAACAAAAATTCCATAACTCCGATTAACTTGAAATTTGGCAGGTGTTCATAATTCTGGTGGCAATACTTCATGGAATTTTTGTTGAAATTAAAAAAAAATGGCTGCTCTAAGATGGCGGACAAGATTTGGTCCGATTCCATTCCGTCAATTTCCATCAAGGGACCCTAGAAACGGCATGGTTCCTCCACTCTTTTGGGTATCCTATAAAACTCCTTAATTATTTATTATGTATAAGGAAAGTGCAACCCATTGAGGAACCCTAACCTAACCCAACCTAACCTGACATTCCGTCGCCACAGCCCTCGCCAGCAACGTCTTCCCGTTGCCGGGCGGCCCGAACAGCAGCAGTCCCCGCGCCGGCGTCCGCAGTCCGGTGAACAGCTCCGGCCGCAGCGACGGCAGGATGACCATCTCTTGCAGCGCCTGCTTGGCCGTGTCCTGGCCGACGATGTCCTCCCATTGGACGGGGTGGCCGCCCTCCAGGATCTCGTCGAGGATGGCCTGCGCTAGCTTGGGGTCGACGCCTCGAAGGGAGGGCGAACGGCCTCGCGCGTTCGCCTTGCTGTTGGCGGCCACTGCTGCAAAAATCGACTCATAAGTTGAAATTGTATCCTGATAGCACAAAAATCGTCTACAGGCGGATAGTCCAGAGTAGAGTCACTGGATGGTATCAGTTAGATAAGAGTTCGGACACAGATGATCTTCTGTCCTTTTCTATTTTCTATATTACAATAGGTCGTGTGCACGATGCCGACCCTGGAGGTAAAATATTGAAACACAACCTCACTCTTCTGTGAAACATTGAAACACAACCTCACTGTTTTCATTTGTTTACAGAGGAATCAAAGGATTGAAATAGTATTTCACAATGGGTTGCGTGCAAGAACTGACAGATGACCGACGCTGGAGGCAAAACATTGAAACACAATGTCACTTTTCTTATTTGTTTACGAGTGATTGGAATAGTTTTCCACAATTATTTTGGCATATGAATCGTATTTTTCCGCTATTCATCAATTCGTTCATGCCATCACATTGTGCTGTTGTAAAATGCACAAGAACTGCAGCGGAAGATGAAGGAATCCGGATGGTACATTTTGATTTAAAAGTAAGAACCTACTATAGTCACTGACATATGGTTTTCATTTTTGAAATTTGGTTATTTCTCTGATGTCTCATCGGAATTCTTTGTGCAATAAGAGCTAATAGAAATATACCTGAAATTTCTAGAATAATGCAAGAAGATTGGATTCATGCAATCAATCGGGAGGACTGGTCTGACATGCTGACGATCGTGTGTGTTGTAGACATTTTCAATCTATTAGCAGTATTAGCTTGTATTGCAGAAGTGGCAGAAGGCAGAAGGAATTTTAATAAGGCATGACAATATTTCATAATGATAACTATGTGAGATTACTATTTACCTAAAAAATCATATTCCCTAGTCTCTTGCTGCATTTTTTGTGCATTGTACAACAACACAATGCGAAGGCATGCTTGAATTAATGAATAACGCAAGAAACACGATTCGTATGCCAAAATATTGTGAAAAACTATTTCAACCTTTTGATTCCTCTGTAAACAAATGAAAAAGTGAGGTTGTGTTTCAATAATTCGCAGAAGAGTGAGGTTGTGTTTCAATATTTTGCCTCCAGGGTCGGTCATCGTGCACGCGACCTATATATAGGTAAATAGTAATCTCACATAGTTTTCATTATGAAATTTTGTCATTTCTTATTAAAATTCCTTCTGCCACTTCTGCAATAGAAGTAAATACTGGTAAAAGATTGATTATGTCTACAACACACACGATCATATTTCGTCAGCATGTCAGATCAGTCCTCCCGTTTGATTGCATGAATCGATCTTCTTGCATCATTTTAGAAATGTCAAGAGTATTTTTATTAGTTCCCATTGCAGATGGAATTCCGATGAGAAATCAGAGAAATTGCCAAATTTCAAAAATGAAAACTATATGTGAGTGACTATAGTAGGTACTCACTTTTAAATCAAAATGTACCAACCGGATTACTTCGTTTCCCGCTGCATTTTTGGTGCATTGTACAACAGCACAATGTGATGGCATGCGCGATTTAATGAATAGCCGAAAAACACGATTCTCATGCCTAAATAATTGTGAAAAACTATCTCAATCACTTGTAAACAAATGAGAAAAGTGGGGTTGTGTTTCAATGTTTCACCTCCAGTGTCGGTCATCTGACAGATCTTGCAAGCAACCCATGGTTTGAGTGAATAAAGTAATAAGACATATTCTGCTCTTTGTCTTTTCAATTTCCCTAGTAGTGCTTGATTGTCAGATACGATTTTATAGGTTAGATTTTCTGTAAAATAAATCATTGTCGTAGATGGAAAATAGAAATAGTGTTTAACACCCACTTCAATTTATATAGAGATACACTTTTCGCAGATCAATCGTTATAAAAATGAAAAGAATTCATGTAACAACATTTCAATATGACAAAATAGACACATATGGATATACTTTGTAGTGAGCGGACCATGTATACAGTGATTTTGATTGATTTGGATTCCAATCACGATTGCAAGACGTGAAAAAGAAAGGGCTGTGAGAGTGATCTTTCGAGATGACGGAAGAGGTTGTCGGAAGCAATTAACTAATATATCGCTGAATTGGGTACGTACGTTTACTTGAATTCCTCAGTTTCGTTCTCAAATTTGCAATTTCATTAAGTAGTTTTGCAATCAATTCCTCTTTCTCTGTGATGATTACGACAAAAGACGGATGCTAATAGTTAATATCCAAGGTACTGACGTATACAGTTAAATGTCTGATTGTTGGATGTTTTTGTCCAAAGAGCAAAAAACCGAGACAAAGTATTAACAAAGTGAAATAAAATGCGTAGAACTGTATGCACAAAACAACACAGATGGATGCACCTTCATGCTAAAGGACTGACGAATCAAAAAGTGTACCACTATTGTTGTCACTCTATTTATAACATCACTCTGGTCCAGAGAATTCGCTGCTCAGAAATCCCATTGTTCAGGATTTCACGAAGAGCAAACGGCATTTTGAACTTTTTTCATTACAGTAGTGAAGTTCGGTAATCTCGTCCGAGATGCCAGAGATTTTTCAATCAAGGCACCGCGGATTGGATTAATAAATCGCAATAAACGAGCGGCGCAGATCGCTGTCGAAGACAAAACCGTCAAAAAGGTTCTCATTTTTGTGATTTTTCACTAAATTTAGTAATAAAATTGTGGGTACTTCTAATGTTGCATTGGCCCTTAATGAGGGTAGCTTTCAAGTTATGTATGAAGTCGATGAAAATTGAATTTAATAAACAATTAATTTCAAATATTCAGGTTCATCGCATCGCTCGGTCAGAATTCTCCGAGCATAAAGTTTATCGGTTTGATAAACGAACCATTCAAACTAATCTGAGCGCTCTGACATAAATGCCGAACTTACTTAATACTGATCGAAACCACTGACATAAGCTACTATTCCAGACCGCCAGTGGTCATATCCCAGCAACCCGAAATTCTCGGGTAAATTCAGAGACCATTCAGGATCTCGGTTCGCTCAAATGTATTGCGCATCGCCAATATCAATGTGTAAAATACGCCAACATATTAAAGGAAAGGGGAGCTATATCTGCGTCTCTCAGAGAGGCTAAGATCGTTAATGCGCATATCAGCATTTTACAGTTGAATACGGCGGGAATTAGTAAATTTTATAACTGCAATCACTCAACTTAGCTAAAGAGAAAACCAATATGTGGATTTTGTGGATCAATAATAAGTGGATGGCCTGAGCCAGCTTGAGGTCCACGCTTTGGAATTCTTTGCTAATGGAAGTATTCCCATAAATTCTGCAAAAGTAAAAAAAATCCAATACCTACACTCTCTCCCTAAGTACGTACGATCGTGCGCTCTAAGAGATAAAAAATGTCGGCTCCTGTCATAACTTACCTTGTCCTCGTGTATTAATAGCTGTCATTACATGATTTGCAAAAAAAACTATGACTTACATATTAAACTATTGAACTCACATTCTAACTTGTCATGGGAATTCTCATGAGTTAAAACATCAAATGCTTTATGTAGATCAATGAATACTGCTACTATTATAAGCCCATTGTCTAAATCAGTGGATATATCATCATCATCATCTTTATTATTCCCAAGAAACAATTGACGTTTATATTTATAACAGGGAACATTAAAAAAAAATTAACCATAATATATTAGGTACATTACATTCAAAATATAGTATTTATAGGTATAATTATTCTAGTAATTCTCATAGTTTGAGCAGATCCTTTTTTGAGTGAATGAATGATTAAAATAATTGATATGTTATATGATCTCAATATGGATGACATGACAAAATTCAGAGGAATAAATATTTTTTGAGTTCTTTCTTGAATTTGTTGGTACTGATATTTTTTTCAAGTCTTGTTGGCAATTCATTGTAAAGTAATAATCGATTGTAATATATAGATCTCTTGCCAAATTCAGATTTGATTTTAATATATAGTGTGCACAACCCCAATAATAGAACTGGAACAAAATGTGTCTGCTTCAAAATCATATTTACCTCCATTATTGTTGTTACTATTTGTTCTTCTAACAGGGGATCCTGCATTCCCTGGTACAGAGAGCTGCTTTTTAATAGCCGGTGGCGTTGAACAAACTTTGTTGAATGGACGCACAGGTTGCACAGGGGCACTACGAGAGCCCATGGACCGAGGCAATGTTTGGCTCTTGGACAGTGTAGCATTGGCTGGTCGTTTACTGGCTATAGTTAGTTTTTTACCAGAAGCTGAAAGGGTTTAGATTTACTCAGGCCATGTTGAATCTTTGATAGACAATTTGAAGCCATTTTAATGAGGGCTACCATTTTTGATCTCACCAGTTGGAGCTACTAGAGCTTTTTTTATCTCACCAGTTGGAGCTACTAGAGCTTGAGGTCTATGTCATTGTCAAAATTCCATAGATTATGCTGGGAAGCTCTGCCATTTATTTTTTTTTTCATGTGAACAAATACAAAACCTCAAGAAATGATAAGGTTTGGGTTGTTATCTCCAATGCGGAACTTAATGCCCAGTTTTTAGTAACAGAAAAAATATACTGTCCCATTGAGGAACAGAAAAACTTCAACAGTGGATAGAGCTCATGAAGGTAGTTCTGATTATCAATTTTGCTCAATATTCTTTCGGAATTTGGTACACAATTCTTTCATCTTCCATCCAAGCCACTCATCTGTCAGTCACGAAAAAAATGCAGGTCCGCTTTAAGGAAAGTTGATCTTTATGGACCGCAAAAAGAACACCCTGTATTTTCGAATTTCCAAATTCCGCATGCTATTTCAATAGAGAGTTTCTGATTTTGAATTTGACGTTTTATGCATACCTAGTATTTTCTTTTAGAATTTGGTACACAAGTTCTCATTCTTCTACTCAAGCAACTCACCTATCAGTCACTAGTAAAATCCAGGTCCGGATTAACGAGAATTGATCATATTTCTGGACCCCAAATAGAACACCCTGTATTTTCGAATTCTTCGCACAAGAAGCTGCATGGAATGGTTTATTTTTTATTTATTGTAACTTATGGATGAATACGCCAGTGTGTCTTCAAGTGCTCTGCATTTTGATTCAAACAATTTCTTGTTTTTAATTTATGTGCACGCTCCTTGGTAAAACGGATAGAAATTTGCCGCGAGTAAAAACTGACCTCACGATTTCGTGAGGATAGGGGCAGAACATAGCACAGTTGCCATGTGTTGAAATACGATTGGGTCCCTCAGAAATATTAGTTATTCAAACATTCATAAATTCTCAATTATGTATTGGTAATATTCCTATTTAGCAACACAAGATCAATTGTCTCAAAATGTTCCCTTATGATTTGTGGCTTATTGCTTATTTGTGTAAATAGTAATTACATTAATTCACACTAGAGGATATTTAAAGCAGTGAACGTGACAACACGGCGCGCACGACTTGTGGGCGTGGTCTTGTCCCTTCCCATCATTCAGCACAATGTTGACCAGTCTCCAACATTTACATGATATTTTGTTATGGAGTATAAGAAATATTTTGACATGCTGGTTGCTCGAAAAAGTCGAGAATGAACTTTAATATCATGAGTTCCTCTTATTATGTTTTATTCAAGGACAGGACTCTTACATCTTTTTGATAACTTGATTATAATTGGTGACTTGACAACCTTGCTTCATGAATGGGAATGGAGGATTATCTGACCAATAATGAAACAGCATAAAATCTGACGTCACCATTTATTCGACGTATCGCCAAATGTAGCCATGTGGATTTGAAATGAGCTCCGAAATTCAATAATTTTGCACAACGCATACACAGATTAATTAAATTGAAAAAAGTGTGAGAAGTGTTGCAAAAATTAATTTAAGTCCCTAATGACACAGTGGGGTAATTGAATGCCAATAATTCTATATCAGTCCCCTCGCCAATTTTTATAATTTTCAAGCTGAGAAGGTAGATGTTTTGTTATTTTTGATGTTCTAATATTTAGAGTAATGAAATTGTTTCAACAGTGATATGTCATTATGTCGATTGATTCGTTCAATTTCTTGCCACAAATACATGAGTAATCAAGTAATCAATAGTGAAATTGTAATATTAGAAGAAACTGGCGTATTCATCCAGGTAACAAATGCTGACAATGACTGTTCTTCAATAGGATATCAGAGCGAATTGCGGCAATCTTTCTATTCCGGAAAACTCAAAACATTTCATTAATGCATAAAAGCTCAAATTAATAATAATAATAATAATAATCTTCATTATTCCCAAGAAACGTATATGTTTATAGCAGGGAAAATTATGAAAGAGCAATTTAAAAAAAATAAAATTTGATAATCAGGTAATCATTTTTAAATCATATACATAGTACATATTATAATGTTGTTTCTTCTAGTGAAAGAGCATGTGGGATAATAGAAAGTACACAATTTGACTATGAAAATACTGGTTGGTTGGTGATAATTTTTGTTATTCAAATGGGAGAATTCAGACATTCCTTTTTTACCTATCCAAATGCATAAAACTTCAAATTCAAAATCAGAAATTCTTAAGTGAAATAGCATGCGGGAAAATAAAAAGTACACCAATTGATTCATTTTTTTGTGCACCTTCCAAATATGTTAGTATATTTAAGTAATTTGAAAATACTGGGTGTTCTTTTTGGGGCCCAGAATATCATCAATTTTCTTTAATCCGGACCTGGATTTTCATTGTGATTGATAGGTGAGTCGCTTGGGTAGAAGTGGTAGAAGGACAACTTGTGTACCAAATTCCCAGTGGATATACTGGGTGGTTCATGTCAATTTTTGTTATTCAATTGGGAAAACTCCAAATATTCCATTTTTACCTATCCAAATGCATAAAACGTCAAATTCAAAATCATAAATTCTTTAGTGAAATAGCATGTGGGAAAATAAAAAGTATACCATATGATTCTGATTCTTGTGCAATTTCTAAATATGTAAGCGGATTCTGGAAATTATAAAATACAGGGTGTTCTTTTTGGGGTACAAAAATATAATTCAATTTTCCATAATCCGGACCTGGATTTTTCTCGTGACTTATTGGTGAGTCGTTTGTGTAGAAGAGGAAGGCATTATTTATCAAATTCCAAAAAAATATACTGAGTGGTTTATGAGTTATGTAGTCACAAAGAGTTGAACAGAATTGATAAAACACCCTATATCTGGAATATAAAACTTGTAAGACCCTACAAATATGATATATTCAGAACCGCCTTAATGAGATCTACCCACCATTGAAATTCTTCCGTTTCCCAATGGAACACACTGTATATAGTAAAAAGAGGTCAAATGAAGCATAAGAGGGAGTATATCAATCAGTTCAAAGAACCTACATGGCTTCACACTTGCATGATCTGGTGGACAATCAAAATGTGTTATCCCTCATGAGTGATAAATATTATTAGCATAGAAATCATTTGGAAATTTACAGATGAAGACTAACAGCACACCATCACAAATCTAGTTGTAAATCACTTAGTATTAATCTTGCAAAAGTTTCAAAGTTAAAAAAGCATATCAGCAACTACCAACTACAATTTTTTATGTAAGAAAGTTCAATGGATTATATATTAACTAGCAGAAAAGCCTATAAGCCAGACAGACTCATACAACATAATTTTGGCAATATATACCTGGTTTGGGAACAGTTTGTTTGAGTGTAGGGATATTGCTACTAAATGATACCTTAGGCATTTCCCCTGTATCGTTTACCTCCAAATTATGCAATCTATCCATGCTTTCTATAAATAAAAATGTCTATTTCAAATAAAATGCTACAACTAAAATTGCAAGTTGAAATGGCATAAAAATTCATTGTTGAAGATCTAATTGCAATGTACTACTCAAAATTTTAGGTGGAACAGCACATAAACTATTTCATTTCAAATGTGAAAAATGAACTTATTTCAAAACATTGCATTCCAGGAATATTGAATTTGTAATTCATTTCCATCTGTATTATTAGAGAGGTATTAAGTGAAATGAATTTACTTAATTACAATGAATTTTGATTGAGCTGTTGATGGAACAATTCTCTTCTGAGATGTCAACAACAAATTGTGGTTTTCCATGCTCAGGGATCACCCTGTAAAACATCTGCCATTGAGTAGCCCTATTAGGGCATTCAACTTTGGCATATTGTTTCAATTATCTCAATTACAAGCAAGATTTTCATAAAAGTTTGATAACTCAATATTGTACAAACAAATTGATCACAGTTATTTTTTATGCCAACTCAACTTAACCAAACTTATGTAAATTATCACATCCCCTGGCACTTAAGCTGAATGTGTGCAACATAGAAAGGTGAATGACAACTCTCCAGGCACAAGTCTGCATCTACAAGTACACGTACAAATCTCATGTGTAATATGTAGTATGAACATAAAGCATATTTTATTCTGTGAACCTGTTCTTGAGAGGCCAGTATACTTCTCTTTTCCTTTTTCTAACTACTTTCACTGTACTAATTCTATGTTTATTTGATAATATGAAATCTCATCTATCAAACCATAACTTATGAATTTGAGTTCAACTCATACAAAGAAACTATACTTCCTTCTCAGTATGGTCTTGTTTATCTCAAAAAGCTATGGATATTACTAAACCCAAAGCAATATCAATTTTTTTCTATAAAAAATGCATCATAGCAAGAAGACAATATCCTTAGTCTATGCAACATGTCTTTATAGCAGGAATATAATATTTTCAACTTTTTTCAATCAATTTATGTTACACAAATTCAGCTTGAAGTTTTTTTATGATTTTAACAGAATAAAAAATTATACCTAAGTATAAATATAATAAATAATATAAGTAGGTATAGGTAGGTAGGTACAAGGTATAATGAATTATCTACAAAGGTGAAACATCAGTACCCAAAAAATGTGAGTTTCCAAGCAGCTAGGTGTAACTGTGCAAAATTTTGAATTTTAACCAGAAAGTATCTCCTCATACAATTATTGTTTATGAGGCTGTGTATAGAAGTTTGAAATGTTACCTAAGAACTGCAATCTATCTTTAGCCATGGCCAGATTTGTTTTCATTTTTTCATGGAGCCTCTGTGCTCTTTCCCACACCTCCCCACGTCCTCCCCAGCACTGAACTGCAATTCCCAGTTCCAACTCTGTGATGCCTTTTCTATACAAATCAATTGCCAATTCTTTTTGACCTGAAAGAATGCTATTCAAAAGAAGTAATTGATAATGCAAGAAAAAACTACCTTCATTTTCTTCATCTATTTTCAATGCTTTGGATATGTATTCAAAAGCCCTCCGATGATGATGCTTTTGTTTAGCTAACAAAGGGTCTCCTGGACCTGGTCCTGTAGTTCTCACTTGAGCCATTTCTGTAACTTCTTCTACTACCACGCAACTATTCCTCTCACCATTCTCACAATCAGATATTTGACGACGTATAAAATAAGTTGAAGAACTAATGTAAACAAATCGCAAAATGACAAAAAACTGATAAAGCAAAGATCGCAAAATGTTGAATAAAAAAATTATGGGAAAGGAAACGATACACAAATTTCTCTTATGTACAGAAGTTGTTGAATAGGTTGTGAACATCACATTAGTGTGGGAAGCATCAGGGTCACTTTTTCGAGATTTTTTTGGAGATTTTCCACTTTGATTCTTTCGCACCATTCGGATATTAATCTCCACTCTCCAGAGATTTTGACATCAAACAGTGACCATTCTGACGTCTGAGAGAAGTGAGAAGTAGAGCTCAGTAATTCAAATAACCATGACTTACGGTACGAACGTATTTTTTTATGAATCAGAACTATTAACAAAAGAACGTCCCTTTTTCGTGAATTGACACAATGGAACCTTTCACTTGTCGAGTTGACAGTGTTGACAGTAACTACCGTAGTGACAGTTTGTTTTTCGTTCACTTTTATTTGCGGTTATGAAATCCGTTTTTCTGTCTGCCGCTTTTGTATTTTATTTTGGAAATCCTCATTATGGATAAAAGTTTTCATGGTAGCTTTTCAGGGAAAAGTCCATTTTCTCCCAGATCGCGTCAAAATATAAGTTCAAAGCGAATACTTCCAACATCATTCAGAAAATCCTCGTAAGAGATGTGTATAATTGATGTAGATAATAGGAACACTCAAATGAAACTTATATTTCAGCCGGTTGAGTATATCTGGAAAATCATCTCAATCTGTTCAAATTGTACTGAAAGCAACTCACCATTATGTAGAACGTTTTGGACAATCCCTGCCAGTTCTCATCACAGAAGCTTTAACATTTGCAGATAGTAAGTAAATACATTGAATTCATTGTATTCATAAGAAGTTTTGTATAGACACATTCAATTATATATCTATCTGCCAGGAAATACTGTCGTTTCTGCACGAATTTCTGAAATTGGATATGCTTGGGTAGTTTGTGGAAGAAGGCTTTTGATCTGGCAGTATAGGCAAACTACAGTAGCCCCAGGTACACCACAAAGAAAAACTGGTAGTATAAATCAATGTTTTGAGCTGCAATTACCACAGAGCGATTTAGCTCATAGAGCTGAATTGGTTGCAGTTTTCATCAATGCTGGTTCTAATACCCCATCATGTATTGCTGTATCTCCAGAAGGTATACCAAATTTGCCATCTATAAAACATGTTTCTTTAGGTAATAATTTCAGGTGTTGTTAGATATTGGCCAGCTGTAGCACATGAAGGAGTCACAGTTGAGGAAACTGTGGATCTACAAGGCCAAGAATGTGACAGTTTAACAAACATAGATGGATTAGGTTGCATATTGGCAACAACAACTTGCACTGTTGTACTTGTTCAACCAATAATGAACAATGGTAGACATATCTTGAGCTGCAAACCACTCAGAACACCAAGTGGATGGCTGGGTGGTATCAGTAAGAGGATGTCATCACTGATATTTGGTCCCATTTCCAATGAGCAAACTAGTGAAACAGTGAGTAATTTAAGTACTTACCTTAAATATTTACATTAAGATGAACCATCCTAATGAGAGCAATGAAGTCAGATGATTTATTCAGTAGGTGGTGAGCTCCAAGGTTAATCTATTGTTTGTTAAGCTGCAAAGGGTAAAGATTGGTAGTGCAGACAAGATATATTCAAAGTCAATTCTAAGATATTTTCATGCAAGAAGGAATGTTTCATCAGGGCCAGATTGAAATATTTTAATTATTTAAGTGATTTTCCTGATTCAAAAAGAAGGATATTTTTAGGATAATCATAAATATTGTATTACAAAAATAATAACACTATAGCTATGTATACAGTATACACTGAGATACAATCAATTATGGGGATAATCAATGATTTTGGTGATTGCACAACCTTAACAGAGCTTTGAGTTGCTTTTAAAGTTTGAATCATTTCAATAACAATACTGAATCAGGTACTAGGTATGATCAATAACTATTCATCTTATGGCTATAAATATAATAGGAATTTATCATATTATTTCAAAACCTAACTGCCTTTTTATTAGACCAGAAAGAGGATGTAACTTTTGAAAAAAAATCATCTTCAGACTTCCTCATTTAGTAATTATACTCAATATTTGATGTCATGAGAATCATACCAAATATTTTTCAGAGATTGGTTAGGGTTCTTAGTGTACCAAATAAAAAAGGTACCTGGATAGTCTATGTTTTGGCTGGGCATTCCCTTCAGAAATGGATACTGTCAAACCAAGAACCAGAACAGTTGGTGTCCATCTCTGAATTGAACAGGTTGGTGAGAGATAGATTCCACAGTGTGGTCTGGGACAATTGGGTGGGTGACCAAGATGAAATTGACATCTGGCTGTTGGACATTCAGGCAGATAAAGACAAAGATAATGTCATTATTTTTGCCGCTGCTGTCAATATGCAGAAATCCTCCCAAGTATGTGAATTATTTAGTTTTGAATTGAATATTCCTTGATTTTCCAAAATTTCTTTCAGGTGTACTATGCCATGATATCATTTTCAACTGGTGGCTCTGTTTCCATAAAAGATTTCATTTTACTTAAAATATCTGGACTATACAGAGAAGATAATGCCAGTGATTCTTTGTCCTATAGATTTTTATTAAGTGGCTCAAGTGTTTATATGTATAATCTGAAAACAATCAGAATAATGAGATCTTCAGAAGAGCCTGATGTGTTGGAATTCAATTCATCACAAGATTTTTTATTAGGTTAGTATTTTTTTAAATTCACTCAGCTTTATAAGAGATAGAGACGGTGTCTACTGACTGAATATTTCATATGAATAGTTGATAACCATGAGAAAAGATAAATTTCATCCTGAAAAAATGACAGTCAGTATTTTCTTCTGTATGATTTCAATATCAATTTTGGATGGGTATTTTTGAAATTTGATGCTGTTTCAAAAATTTTCAACTTTTCCAAACATGGAAACATGAAAAACATTTTCAATTATCATATACCAAGGAAAGTGGAATAACATATTAAACTGATTCAGTATTGAAATTACAAGTCAGAAATAAAAGAACTTGAGGAGAATTCTGATACTGAAAACTAAAACTTGAGAAAATTGTACAAAATTCAAATTGAAGCTAGATCATGTTTCAAAGATGAAGGAAACCAACTGATGTCTACTGATGAAGACAAAAAGAACCATGAGAGAGGCATCAAAAACCCGTGAAAATGCAAGCAAAATTGTACCTATCTTTGTTACACTTGCATGCATTTCCATGGTACCTTCTCTTTTATGTTGTAGTCAATGCTTTCCAAAGGATGGTTAGGCAAGGGAGGAACTATCAGTTGAATATATTCAGGTCATTGGTAATGGAAGATGAAAAACCTTCTGATAATTTTTTCACCAGGTGGATCCATTTGTGTTAATACACCAGTATTTTTCTCAAGACTGAATGGTTTAGTAGCTGTTTGTACTAATGATCAGATTTCGGATTTTTTGAACCAAAGCACAACATCAAATACCCCAATAGAGACTTCTTTCAATGAATCCACTGCTGTGAACAATTTGTCTATGTATAATTTAGACCCTGAAGAAATATACAATGCCTACAAGGACACAGTTGGTCAGTTGAAAGCTGCATTTATTTTTCATATTAGAAATCAGCAGGTGAGTTCAAGGTGTCTCAATAGAGCATTTCAGCTAGCATTGAGAGAGAAAAAAATGTCTTTCCCATCTGTCCTTGTCTTTAGTGTTCCAAGGTAAAATAATGGTATGTTGGTAACATTGGAAATGGGAAAAAGTGGAGAAGAAGATCATATTAACCTTAATATTAAAAAGATTAGAATGGCCTTCTTCTCCATTTCGTCTAATTTCCAGTGTTGCCAATATGAAATTTTCATTATTTTATGTTGGAACACTGAAGACAAGGACGGATGGGGAAGAAATGTTGTTCTCTCTCAATGCTAGTTGAACTGCTCTATTGATCTTCCAATAATAAATATCTATTGAGAATGTGACATTCACTAGCATGTGTATCATTATTATATCCTGCCATTTCATGTTGAATTATTATGAATAATCAGTGTGGGAAGCTTTATGAAAAATCAAATTTATCATTAATTTTATTTATTGTAAAAATTGAAAAAATCATCGAATTTTCTATTACTATTTACATGGTGAATTTTATTCATTGTCTATTAGGTTCCTCTAAAAGCAAACTATCACTATTAGTACATCATGTTTTCAAGAATTTTGTGGATATTTTATTGTTTGTGGACTTTTTTACATTAGTAGAATGTATTTTTTCTACAAACGTCAAAAAATGACAAGGTTCGCGCATTGACAACAAATTGCGAAGTGACACTTTTTTTTAGTTTCCTACGTTACAATGATACCTTGCACAAGACAATGCGCGAAGTAAAACAGTGCGCGAAGTACCTACTTCGTGCACTGTTATGTAAAATATATGAGATATTTATATTTCAACTTAATGGTCCACAATCGAGCAAACATCCACGAAATCATTTATTACTGAATGTTCAATAAATAACTTCGTTTCATCTTTTGGAGCGCACGAAAGGAAATTCCTATTATGTTCGTGGAACTTCGTGCGTACCTAGGGAGGATCGGGGGAGGTCATTAAAGCCTGTTCAACACTATTTTTTATATCAAGCTGAGCATATATCCACTTTAGAACGATATTTTTTGAGGTTTGTAGAAAAAATGTTGTTTGCAACTCGAGCGCGAAATACTTTGGTCATCTGGACTATTTTTTTAACTCGGCTACGCCTCGTTAAAAAAATCAGATCTCGATCACCAAAGTAGCATTTCGCGCTCTAGATACAAAAATAACTATTCTTTTCTAGTTACCTTATGTTAGATTCAACTGAATAATGCCAAAAGTCTAGGTTAGATAAAAATAGCAAAATTGGTTCTTTTCAGTACCTACTCTGGTAGGATACTTATGCATGTTACACTCTTAGAGATTGTAAATCAATATCCGCCATTCCCGGTTTTTCCCTATGTGTTCAAATAGGAAATACTCAATATTTTTACACTTAGTCAGGATTTCATGAATGATTTATGTAGGCCACACATTAGAAGATTTCCAACTTGCAGTTAAATTAAGTTTTTAATAACACCTACTATTTTTTGACTCCATGTGAATGAAAATTATTTTATGATGAGTTACTTAAGCATTCTCTATACCGGCTATACCTAACTCGAACCTCCATCGAGTGAATTTTCAGTGTAGGTCAAAGGGTATATTGCAATGACTGCACTGTAGATCATAGGAAAATGTGTGAACTCAACAATACATTTTTCTCCGTGTATATGGTGGTGTTATTCAAGGTAACGAATTTCGGTTGCCGGAAATTTGATCGAAAATCATTTGATCGAAATCATTTGATCGAAAAACATTTGATCGACAATCAATCGACCGAAAAAACAAATGATCGAAAAATCATTCGATCGAAAAATCAATGAATCGAAATTGCAATTGATCGAACTACATTTTGATCGAAAGTGTTTAATTGGAGTCACAGTTATACTGTCAAAAAGTTACAGCTAATATAAAAAATGTATTTCCTTAAGAGTCAATTAGGAAAAGAAAGTGTTTAATTGGAAACAATAAGTATTGAAATAATGAATAATCACATGCACTATAACATATATGACACAAACTTCACGAAATTCAATAATTCGTCATCATCGCAATCTAATTGAAAATGTTCTGAAATCCTTTTCAAGCGACATTTGAGGTCCTTGTCTTTCTTTTTCTTTGCTGCAAGATCCCCAGTAGCCAGTTTCACAATTTTCAGTTCAGTAAAGGATTGCTCTTTCTTCAGCCCTTCAACGAAATTCCAGAATGATGGTTTCCTAGCATTCATCCCTCGATAGAATTATTTGTCAGAGGGATATTCTTCGATTTTGTACTATCGAAACAGTTCCACATTGTTGGTGCAAAATGTGGCTTCTTGGATTTGTTGAGCTGAGTAGTTTTACCAATCCACGTTTCTTTGAAGTAATCAACGAATTCTTCAATTTCGTCTGGAAGTATATTTCGTGAGCACAAGAGATGGAATGCTCTTGTTACCATATTTTCTGGTACAAATGCCAAACCATTGAATAACTTCATGACCGATGAAAATTCTGCATCCGTATCATATTTGCTTTTCAGTCCAAGTGACTGGAGTTTTTTATATAAGCATTGGCTGAAATGGAAGTAACATCCCTTATGACTAACCGTCGGAAAAACTAGACTTATGGCATTTTCGATAGATTTTTCGAAGTCTGTCATGATTGATAATACCTTTGGATTGATAACCAAATCTTTTATCACATGTAACATTTTTATATATATTTTCTGCGATTTACTTGGTAAAAGAGCATAAACGCATGGTATATAAGTGCCATCTAATTCAGCGTGTATTGAATATAACTGGTAAAATAAAGGTGGAACAGTCTGAAAAGTACCATCCATTAACCATATTTGTGATTCTGCTAATATCTGTAAATTTTTTGGAGTGTCAAATATCAAAATTCGGTCTTCATCGTTTCCAGAATCGTGAGCTAAGAACTGTATCCCCTTATCAGTGAGCTTATATTCTGCAGGAATTATCAATTCGGATAAGGAATTGGGTGATGGTGGCGAAATGTCTTCTTTCTTCCTGATATTCCTTATTGTTCTTTTCATGGTTTCAATGGAAGGCAAGAGGGCGCATGATTTTTCACTCAACTGGCTGGAAGCATGCGAGATGATTGTTTTTGGTGCTTCCTTCGATGTAGAGGCCATCTCTCTTATTTCTTGCAGAGCTTTCCTTGTCTCCAATCTATCGGATCTTCCAGTATGGGTATGGTCCCTTCTTTTCACAAAATTTCCATGCTTTGCTATTATTCTCGCTTTACAAGATGAACTCTTGTATTCCTCACATTTCCAATATGACGTATCATCGCGCTGGTATTCTCTTATATAGAAATATCCATCCAACATCAGTTTTTCTTTTCCTAATTGACTCTTAAGGAAAGACATTCTTTATATTAGCTGTAACTTTTTGACAGTATAACTGTGACTTCAATTCTGACATGTTATGTTGAGCGCTATACTAAGGGATGTGAATCATTCGATCAAAGTTCGATCAATTGCAATTCCGATTCATTGGTTTTTCGATCGAATGATTTTCGATCGAATGATTTTTCGATCATTTGTTTTTTCGGTCGATTGATTTTCGATGAAATGTTTTTCGATCATTTGTTTTTCGATCGATTGGTTTCGATCAAATTTCCGGCAACCACGAATTTCAAACCATCAAACATCAGAGACGGCAGTGGCTAGTGGCTAGTCTATTGGCGCTGTAGGAGAGATATGGGCAACTTTATAAATTGAAACCAAAATATCAAATATTCACTACAGTTCACTAGTAGCTACGTGATTGTGTCAAAAAGTTAAAGTCATTCTAATTTTCTGTCGTGAATTCTAGAGATGAGTGGACAAAGAAAAAAATTGTGACAAAATACTAGAAATATGTGGTGTGAAAACTGGGTAGTTGATTATAATAGTTAACACTTATCTTACCTACATGTCTTAATTGGAACTTTATTTGTCGAGATACACAGGGTGAAATTAAAGTGATGAATGAAGTTGGTAGTAGAAAATATAAGATGAAACGACATCAAAGTATGAATACAGGTACATAAGTATTTGGGGCCATATTGAATTTTAAAGTTTGCCTGGAATGTTTGTAAATCATTGATTAGAGGTAAACAGCCGAACCCAAGCGTTTGCTTTCATCGAGTTCAGAAGCATCGCAAGTTTCAATGACTTTATAAATAGTGATGGGTGTTCAATAGGAGTTAGAGATGTGGTATGATAGCGTACAGGGTGCGCCTCTTAAAATGGAACCCCCCTTAACTCTTTTGTTTTTAGAGATATGAAAAAATGTTGAATCAAGAAGTTTTTCGAAATGACCCAAACTTTCATTTCGTGAAATTGTTCAGGGAAATTGTTCAGGGTCATTAGTTTTTCCGGAAAGGACATGAACTTTGATATTTCCAATAGAACTCCCTATATATTTTCCGACATATATGTCGATAGAACTTTCTTTTCTGATCTTAAAAATATATATGAGTTGCATATTTGGATGAAAAATAGTTGAGTTATTATGAAATTGAAATCTTCCAATCTCAATTCAGAAAAATATGAATGGATGATGCGGTATTTTGGTAAACTTTGATCAGCAATAACTCAATTATTTCCCATTCAAATATATTCTTGAAATCAGAAAAAAAGCTCTATCAACATGCCAGAAAATATATAGGGTGTTTCATTGAAAAATTCAGAGTTAATGTCCTTTCCGCAAAAACGAATGACCCTGTATATAAAGGAACTTCTTGAACTAAGACTTTGGGTCGTTTCAAACAACTTTTTTGTTCAACAATTTCTCACATCTCTGAAAACAAAAGAGAAGTTCTATTTTAAGAGGCGCACCCTGTTCATAAATTCAGAAGAAAGAAAAAAAACACATTTCAAATTGTTATTGTGTCATTATATCTCGAGATATGTGTCATAAAACAACTCATTATTTATGTGTCTAATTTCGGAAATACCTAGTATACATCTCAAAATATTGCATTTCGGCATAAATATATGAAATCAGGGTGCAAGGTTCCAAGCAATAATTATAATATTTGAATTAATCAAGAAGCAATGCACCTTAATTAGGTAATGTTACGCCAGTGTCGACTGGAAATATTTCTGAGGATACTTCCTAGAAGTACAGTTGTGTGCATAAACAAGTCGTACAGCAGTTATAGGCTACCTATTGTTAGTCAGTTTCAGATTTCTGCCAGATGTATGATGAGAGATTATTATAATTATATAAAGACAGTTTTACTGAATTTCATAGCAAATCTAATGACTACAACTTTTAAGTGTCAGAATTCCTCAAATATTCACTCAAAAATATGAAATTGTATTTATTATGTAAATTGTACTCGATGAGAAATTAATTTTAGTTAGTGGAAGAAAAAAATTACATGAACATGGACAAGTTCTCAACTTTTCTTATCATGTTTTTATTTCAAATATATTATGCTGAAATGTATGTTATTTCAAAAATTTATGAAAATAAATAAAAAATTAAGTGCAATCTTCAATATATAGTCAGAAAAATCGATATATCTATAAAAATGTAATGAATAAGTCAAAATGAATTAGGTTGTCTAAACTTAGAATAAGAAGGCCAATCAAACCATGTGTAATAAAATGTAGGTTTCAATTTGATATAAAAAAGTTTTTGCCGACTTTTGACTCAGCTGGAGAACTACAAATAGCTATTGGAAAGATTGGAAATGATCTATTATAACAGCATACAAATTCTCAAATTTTTAATCCAAGTGCAAGTTGCAAAACTCCTACTGTGTTGCCTACATAAATCAGCCTGTATATTATTGTAAAAAAAAACTCTGTGTAATAATTTTTAATGAACTATCTGGTTGTAACTGAATTTATGTTTATACAATATTTAAAAGCATTTGGTAGTAACACAAAACTAACTGATATGTACGAATGTACTTCAGTTCCGTATTCGAATCAAATTAATTTTAGAGCGCATATCAAGACATCCTCAATGAGCTCTTTCCCCATGAAAACGCCCCATCTACAAGCATCAACAGTGCCCTGGATAAATGTGTGGTCCTGTTGTGCAAAGACCTGCTGGACGACATTCCGGCCGGTGATCCACGATGGAACAAAGTTGCTTCTGCTGGCATAGGGAGCTCATATGCCATGCAAGTTCTCCATCAGCTGGAGGATAAGCAGAAGGCTTTGTCTCTGTATTTCCGGTTCCTGAAGGAATCGGGGATCTGGAGCAGGTTGTCTGCTTGTATTACGAGAGATAGTGCTATGCCTACCATTTATACTCTAGGTGAGTCCCAAACCATAGAAATACCCCAATAAATACATGGTGATTCAAAATTCGATGTAAATATTTCAAGGACATATTGTTGGGATCAAAACAAGACGTTTTCTTCATATAAACATCATAAACGTCATAAAATGCACCCACTTCCAGCTAGAGCCACTGTAAATTAGGTAAAAAAAATATTATCTGAAATTGTGACTGAAATAACGAATCAAATATTCTGAAAATTGGCATGCCCCTGTCTTTTTAGGCACTTTACCTAGGGCCTACTCTATCTCACAGTTTCATTTTAAACCGATTCCAAATTGGCGAAAAATAGTATTCTGTAGTACAGGGTTATTCACCATAATTGTCCCCCCCTCTAGATCAGTTACTTTTGAACTCATTGCAAAATTTTAAAAATCATCTTAAATGATTTTCGATAGATTTTTTTTCTGCTACATCAGAAAATACAAGGTGCTCGGAACAAACGATCTACAGGGTACTATTTGATTTTTTTAAATGGAACACCCTATTTTTCATTGTATTTTTAGATTCTCCCTGAAGAGCTGATTTCATCAATGTATCACACTTGGGGTCTAGCGGGAATGATTACATAGATATAGGGTGTTCAAAATCGAGATTTTTCAACTTTAGGATTTTTCTGTGACGAAACTATTCATTATAGTTCAAAACGGCTTTCTTGATCGTATCTCAACTTTTGATTTACTATCTACTGACATTTAATAATTGGAACAGATACAAGGCGATCAGAATTCTGAATCTTGAACCACACCGTATATATTCCAATTAAATGTCAGTAGATAGTAAATCAAAAGTTGAGATAGGGACATTAAAGCCGTTTTGACCAATAATGAATAGTTTCGACACAAAAAAATACTAAAGTTGAAAAATCTCGATTTTGAACACCCAATATCTTTGTAATCATTCCCGCTAGACCCCAAGTGTGATGCATTGTTGAAATCAGCTCTTTAGGGAGAATCTAAAAATATAATGAAATACAGGGTGTTCCATTTGAAAAAATCAAGTAGTACTCTGTAGATCGTTTGTTCCGAGCACCCTGTATTTTCTGATGCAACACGAAGAAAATTTTTGAAAAATCATTTTAGATGATTTTTCAAATTTTCAAATCGGTTGAAAAATAAGTGAGCTAGAGGGGGGGACATTTATGGTGAATCACCCTGTACGTCCTGATTTTCATTAAAATTGAATTTCTTTACAGCTTCATAAATCGGTACTGGTTCATCCTAATGAATTTATATTTTTACCGAAAGTTGGGTAGTTCATTAGGGATCAATTCGTCTTGATTGAGAACTCACCGATATGAAAATGAATGATGTGAAATCTCAACCTACTAGTGTGACGTCAGCATCGAGGTAGAGGGGGTAGACTACGGCCCGGTGAGATAGAGTAGGCCCTGCTTTACCTCCTTCTTGCTTAAAAAATTATGTAAACTCAGTTTTGGAGGAGTTGGAAGGGGAAGGGAGTGCATTTGAGGACACATGTCTTATTTTGATCCCAACGAAATATTTACATCGAATTTTGAATCACCCTGTATAAATAGAATGTGAACTCATACAGGGTGTTGATTAATTGAGTGCCTATCATACAAGGTGTGAATCTTCGGGTGATTTTAAGGAGGAAAGTTTGTATAAACATGTCCTAAACCTCTCAGGTTTTGAGCTACAGGGTGTTAAAATCAGAGGCGTACATTTATTTTCAATCAGAACACTCAATATCAAGCCTAAGTGAACACTACTGTAAGAAGTAAATAATTGATTTTTTCCCAAAACAAAATGTGTTTTCACTCATAGTGGGTGCCTACTAAATTTTAACAAAATGTCAAAAACAATCTCAGAAAAAACATTTGGTTTTTATTTTTTTTTTTGCGAAAACAGTACGTCGTTTGAAAGTAAGTCTTGGCATCAACGCCATCAACTATGCTCCAAAATGAATGGAGGATTCAAAAATAATTTTGGTTTCCAGAACAATCAGTGATACCATTTTATTCTTTATAAATTTTCAATTCTAACCCCTTACGGACGACACTGGTGAAAATTTTGAAATATCTTTCACGTCAAAAAATGCTCCTTAATGATGAAAAGGTATGTACAAAATTTCAATATAGAGACCTAAAAATGTTTATGAATCTATTGTTGAAAGTAATTCATTATTCAAAATATTACATGATAGAGATATACATATATGAAGATTTGTTAAAAATTGAGAGTCAACTTATGAACTCGCATCCAAGATGATATGTTTTACATAATCTCTTGGAGATATACATGTATGAAGATTTGTTGAAATTGAGAGTCAACTTATGATTTCGCATCCAAAAGATATGTTTTCCAAATGACTTTTAATATCCCGTTCCATATCATTTAATACTTTCCATACCTACATGAATCAATGTTGCACCTGCAAATAGCTTTCCTTTCAATCTCAGAGTTGATATTGAATTGATATAAATTAAAAATATAATTGGTATTTAAGGAGTCATTCATCCACTTTTTAGTTAATCAAAATAGGACAATAAATAACGGCACTGTGAGGGCTTTGGCCCTTTTTCGTTATTATCCCTGTTTTATTACGGAATATTGCACCTAAATAGTGGTTATTTGTACTATCAATATTTTGTTTTAGGGGAATTTTCTGAGAAAATCACTGCCGCAATAGTTATGAAAAGTCTCCCAAATAGTTTATTAATAGAGAATGCTCTGGAAAAAGCAATTGAGCACTTTGAAACAGAACCAGGAAATGGTCTAACAAATCAGGATGTGTTCTATAGAGAAGTCACCAAAGTTCAAAGGGGTATCCAGGAAATAGTCAACTGTTGTGAAGATTCTGCTCATTCAGATTTAAGCCCTGCCCAAGTTGCTCAAATTGTTCATGATACTAATGAAATTGTTTTGGTAAGCTGATTATCATGATTTATAATAATTATTACAAAGATAATAACAATGGGGTTGTACTGTATGATCCAATCAAACATTTGGCAGGGGTTATTCATTTACTAAATAAATATCATGCCTCTTCAAATGCCTTGAAACAAATCTTTTACGCAGGGCCCACAGTACTGTACCAGAGTGAATGTGAAAAAATTTTGAGCAGGCTACAATTTTCCTCAAGTCAATAATTATCCTTTGATAAATAAATATATTAGAAATATATTCAGATGTTTGCAATAAAGGTTCACGGCTGAACATCCTAAAAATTTTAGACATTCAAGCACCCAAATGTCAATTGTCTTAATGACCAAACCAATTTTGAACGTACTCAGTATATTAGCGACTTATTTCTGTGATTTAGCGACATTTTTTATCAAAAACAAAATGAATATAACCTTTCCTACAAAATTTAATTCTGTACTATTAGGTAGGTACATTGGTAATCACAAAATACATTTCTCGATCGTATTTGAGGTGTGTCTTTGATCTAATCACACATTGATAAACCTGTCACACCATGTATCAACTCATTTTTCTAGTTCAACATCAGACACATCTGCAACTTCATTGCTATGAGTCACATTGGTTTGGTTCCTATAAGTTTCAATACTGAATTAGGCAAAATAAAATATTCACAAACATCACAATTCTTTAAACCATATCGAACATGCATATCTTCTCTGCTTATCTCTTCATCACGAATGTTTCAATCTGAATTCATATCCGTCGTCACCAATTCTTGTGATCAAAATATCTCCATATAAACCGCTATGAATATGTTGAAAACGCTAGAATTCGACACGTCGTATATCAAGTTGAAATGTCACATTCAACTTTCTCTAAACACTCGTAGATTTAGCGACAAAACCGCTTAGATGACAACTCTGGCTGACAAGTGAGTGTAAAGAATAATCACATCACGTCACCATAACCGCCCCACCCCCACGTTCACGTTGCCTATTCGTTATTAACCTGCAGTGTATTTTTGCCGCTTTGTACGATTTATCTCTGTATGATTTATCTCGTATCTGCCGATTATTCTAGGGCAGGCAGATAGATATATTTTCGTACCGCTGGCTACGGCCCTGCTTTTACGAGAAACCATCAACTATCAACGAGAGGAAGACAAAAAACAATGCCATGGTGCCAAATCAATTTATCTGATATATATTAGCTGATTATATTTTCATTGATAACCCAAACTATTTGTTAAACTTCACTATAACCAAGCCGAAGGGAAACAAGAGTCAACTTGACCTCAAATGTTTTTTATTTGTTTTGATTTATCTGAAACCATAACCATAAGCCCACTAATAGTTCACTCCACCCCATATTCAGTGTATTTCATAGTAGAGAACAGAGTTTGAAATGTATAAATTATACATAAATTTGAATAGACAGTGAAAATGTGGAGTATTTTAATGCAACAACAACTTTGTAAGTGCTGAAATGAAAGATTCTGAAAACCAAAATGTATAATGTACTATTTAAGCTACAACAATCAAACATCAAAGTATCAAGTATTGCATCCATATATGGACTAGTTAGCATTTTAATCCGAATATGGAAACAGTATTCCTGTATTGCAGATTCATTATTATCTATTTGTACAATAGGAATCATACCCACGAGTTGATAGATGACCATTTCTTTCCAGACTGTCCTGAATGAGGTTATCCAATATCGTAATCAGAACTCGGATAATTTCGTTCCTTCTGAAGAGACAAAATCATTGAATCTGGAATATTTATCATGGACTGCAACAAGTGGGACCGAAGGTGTAGCAGATGCCCTTTTACAACAAGTAAATATGAAGATATTGCCCATCAGTCAAATTATTTTATCCGATTATTTCTACAGCATAGTTCAACATTCAATTATGGACTGAAATTAATAAGTCAAGGACAGTTGAGAAATTCGTTATTAGATCACCTTGTAGCACTCACTGATTTAATACTGGATGGTAGGAAGTTTCATTTAGAAACCATCAAGAATTCCCAGAAGGAGAGTATTGTCTACAAGCAATATTGCTCTGACAGGCACAAATTGATCAAACCATTATGTTAGTATGAAAAATTCGGTAATTGTTGTATGGTTTGTGTAATTTTTTCTTCTTCAGTGAATGAAAAGGAATATGAAAGGGCAGCTTTGTTAGCTGAAAAATATCTGGACTTTGAAACACTTGCTACAATTTGTGAACTCATGGATAATCAAACTAGGTTAGATGAATACATGGACCGATTCAACAATGAGGGTTTTCCGGAATTTGTTTATAACTGGTTCCTCAAGCAAAACAAGCAAGGCAAACTGATGGACAGGTATAGGAAATCAGGAAGAACAAAAAATCTTGAAAAGCTATCCAGTTTCCTTTCTGACCATCCATCCCTTTCTTGGATGCAGCAAATTTTTGATCATAAATTTTCTATGGCAGCAGATACGTTATGTAAGTGGTAGTCTTTACAATTCACAAAACGAAAATAATATACACGTTTTGCAAAAGAAATCTTCTCATAGGAAAACCATCTTTTGAAGTGAATATACAAAGTGGGCCAAAAGAAGTCATCTGATGTTGTTTGGCTCTCATTTTTTTTTTCTCTCCATGGCTTGTTCACTTGTATTCTACATGTCTTCACAAATGTCAAAACAGATTTGACATTGCAAAAATAATAGCATTTTCCAATAGGGTGATTTATTTTTTCCCCACCTAGTACATGAAGAATTATGGGTATCTAATAGTGAAATTGGTCTCACGAGTAAATATACCATGTATGCAGATGATACAGTACTTTTATATGAAGGCAAGAATCCTTCAAATCTAGAAAATATGATAAATGAAGACATGAAAATATTTGAAAAATGGCTCCACTCTAACCTTTTATCGATAAATACTAAAAAACAGAATATATGATTTTTCACCAAAAAAATAAACAAAAAATTTACCTCAACCTTGAAATGAAAAATGAACTCTTAAAACAAACTGACCAGATAAAATATCTTGGAATTTGGTTTGATGACAGGTTGAAGTGGGACAAACATATTGATGTTCTGACAAAAAAAATATCTCCAATTATTGGTGCATTGACAAGATGTCCCAAACTTGATATTAAAATTGCAAACATGATTCTCTACTCTCATATACTGAGCCGTATCAACTATTTAATAAATGTTTGGGGAACTTGTTCAAAGAACAATTTCAATAAAATTTCAACATTATATAGAAAATCGTTAAAAGTATTGTATCGTCTCCCATTTGATACACCAACCAATCAATTGTTTGAAATAACAAATACGTATTCTTTAGATGAAATATATAGAATTGAAACTCTCAAAATATCATATAATATCATAAATGAAAAATTGAAGTCGAATTTTATGTTGATACGGAATTCTGAAATTCATAATCATGAAACAAGACAATATAACTTGTTTCATCTTGACGCCGCTAGCTCCATTATCGGACAAAAAAGATTCACTCATTCAGCCTTAACTGAATTCAATAAACTACCTGACAATATAAAAAATTGCAGAAATATAGGTTCATTCAAAAATGAAGTGAAAAAATTGATTATTTCTGAGCGAACTGGATAAAATTGAACATGCCATTTTTTCTTTTTTTTTTTTACAAAATATTCTTTGTCAATTTACCGTTGTTGATATATTTTGTATAATGATAATATGTTTACCTATAGGTATATAATTATGTACTTCCTTATACCAGAGCCTATTCTGTCTGGAAGTTATTTGTTCAATAAATAAAAATAAAAAAAAATAAAAAATAACAAGCGACGTTGCCATATACCTACTTTTGTTGCTCGTGTGGCAAACATATGACTAACGAGGGTGGCAGTGTGGCTATTTCTTTTGCCAGATGTGTATAGATTATAATAAACCTGAAACAATAACTTGTGAAGAAAATTTTAATAAGATTTGAATAAATTAGAGAAATCTTTTTGCTTTGTTGGGTTCAGAAAAACAGCTGTGCAAGTCATTCTGAGACTAATATATGTTTCAGGTAACCTTGCAAATGCTGAAAGAGAGTCACTAACAAGACAAAAAACGATGTTGAGCCTCAGTAAGTTAGCCAAACTTGCCGATCCAAACCCAAGTGACACAAATGATTATGTGAATGATATAGATGCTCGATTGGACCTCATTATTTTTCAAGAAGACTTGCCAGATTATGTACTTCAACAGTTTGGATATGATACCATGAAACCTTGTGTTATACCCCCCAAAGATCTAGTGAATTTATATTTTTGCAATGAATACACAGACGCTGGAGAACTTGAATTCAAAAAAGCTCTAGATATTCTCAGTTTCATAACTGAGAAAGAGCTGAAAGAAGAATTGGAGTTGAAAGTGTGGCGTAGTGCCATACTGAGAGATTCTTGGAATTATAGGAACTTGGACTCGCCTATGGATATCTTACGGGGAACTTTGTTTTATAAAATCATTGATCTGTCATTGGATTTAGGTAATGTACATGATAAAGCACAATACTTTCAACCAATAGCAATGCATGATTCTCGCAATTCATTAGATATAGTAGATGTAACATTGTTTTCATACTGAACTGTTACAATTTTATGATTGGATCTTGATTCTTTTAATAAATTATCGAATATCCGTCAAAACAAAATGTTACCTTTTGCATTGTCATTCAGCATAATAACAAAAGTTTTAATGATAATTTCTTTGTAGGTGCAGATCCACAAACGTTATTGCCACCTTTAGACACCCTTATTGAAGACCAATCTTTGAACCATTTGCAAGAAAACAATAATTTCAAATTTCTCATCAAAACAGCATATGAACATGTTTACCGTTCACAACTGATAGAATAAGTGTTGTTTTAGTTGAATATATATTTTTTTTATTGGTAACCTACTTTGCTTTACTTAAATGAAAGTACCACGGCAATACCATCAACGACCCCTAAATATCCACTTATACTTTCATTGTATTTTTTATTGTGAAAAAATGTTTTATTTCAAATAGTTCTACAGATCATATCTCTATCTATAGAAAACTCGAATACTTATCTTAATTAGTATTTTGAAAATCTACTTTTAAAAAGATCTTGAAAGATCACTTAATGTATTCTAGTCAAATCTTCAATCATTTTCACTAGATTCTCCACTGTCATCTATAAAAATAAAAGGAATAATTATTTCAAAGCTAATCAAAGTAATTGAAATCTTACCCCAACTCCATCAGCTACTTCCTTCATTTTCTCTTGTGACAAATCTAAAAAACTTTCGATCAAGTCTCCATCTATGAAAGCTTCACTGTTTTCAGTTTTGATGTCTGTGTGGAATGCTCTCCAATAAGAATGCTCTATTTTTCCAACAGATTTTATTACTGTTGCTAATTTGGTTTGCAGCTCTAACAAGAATTCATAGAAATCTTGAGTTATTTGAGTCACTAAACCTAAAAAAAGGAGGTCTGGATTAACTCCAATCATCATTTCAGATTAACCATAAAAGAAAAACAAAATCAGTTCTGTTCAAAAACTAAGAGATAGGTAATTAAATAAATAAATATCTTTGTTTCCTTTTAGAATCTAAAAAAGTAAAGGAATAGTCAGGTTATTTCAAAAATATAAATCTATAAACGAGATAAATGACAGATTATATGAAAGAGAGAAACATTATATATACAATTTTTATTAGGTAGTTGGTATTCAAAACTTCATAAGGCAATCTAGAATGGGGTGTTTTCTTCCGAGTGATGTCCAATTATTTTTTCATAAAAAGGAAATACAGAGATGTGCACAAAAAACGGCCAGGGCTGTATCTTCTGAATCGTTCGAGATCGGAATTCAACGATACCGGGTTTGATAGGGTTATTTCAAACGATTACGAAGATATTCGCGTTCTAGGTTTCCATTACGCTCCATGAGTGTGACAGAGAAATAAGTTTCAATGTTGGGAATAAACATATGGAAACTTCGAACGCAAATATTTCATGATCATTTGAAATAACCATATCAAACCCGGTATCCTTGAATTCGTCATGATAATCCCTAACCGATTATGGAATAAAATACATTAAAAAATCTAAATTTGGGGTAGTTTCCGGTAAAAGCGGAAGTGATTGAACAAAAATAGTTTTGTTCAATTAATTATAACAAATAATATTATAGGTACCTGTCGCCTATTATACCAACTAGTTTTTCCAATTAGATCGACATTGGTCTGACCTAGAGTGCATCGAACATATCATTTTAAGCTCTTTAAAGACTGTGGACACATACTTGTCATATTGGTAAACAGCTAAACAAATAACATGAGACAAATTGGCGTTACACGTGTAGTTATATCAATATTATGTCATTGAATGTATTTCCATAAAATGAAGCTTCAACAAACACTTGAAATGTCGTCTCGTCTTTGGGCAACTCAAATGAATGTTAACCATCATTCCCTTGCAACTCGTTACCGAACAAAATATATGCGGAAACATTTTCGCGGGGACGCCTATTCAATTTTCAGAATTGACGCTTCAAATCTGAAAATGATGACAATTGGCAAGGTGATCGACCGTTGAGGGCGCTGTATCAAAAACAAGATGGCGGCGTTATCAGGGCAGTTTGTTCACATATTTTGTGTGTTTTGCATACATTTTATTCCTGCTATTCAATCAATTGTGTTAATTCTCGAAGTTATCACAGAAAATATCAAAAATCATGTTGACTCATCATTACATCGTGTGTGTGATTGACATAATACTGTCTTACGGATAGTATTACAGCTACAAAGAAGCCTTCCATCAAACCTGTGACATTCTGTAGGATATCAAAATGACCCAACGATTTCAACTATAAGTGAATTAGAAAGAAGCTGATATATTTGCAATGGCAGTGGACAATCTCAGCACAAAAACTGGCCAAAAGCGCTGTGCAAGTTTACACTTCACTCAGCTTTGGGCTCATCTTGTGCCTCAGATCCATCATACATTCCATACCAAGACCAGGAGATATTTCATACGACCACAACATACTCTTATCTGCAGCCCCAGGGAAGCCCTTTCAAGCCAATATGAAGAAATAAACATTCAAACTCACAGAAGTTTCAAGTTTATCAGTGATATGGGAATTATATCTCTAACAACAAAATAAAATAGAAGGTTCCAATGGACCTATAATACCTTTTAAAATGAATTAACTGCACTTAAGAAGTCTTTTCTGATGATAAAATATCAGTTCGAATATGAATTTGAAAACTGGATGCTGGCAGCTCCAACAAAAACTTACTACCTTTCTTCACTTCATTGGTCCAATAATGGAAACAATAAGGTACATTTGTGATTCATAGATATACTTATTACTGATAATTTACTCTAATTTGTAGTGCCTATCTGAGAGAGAACATTGATTGAAATGATCAATGGTTCATATTCTGTTCATGGGGAAATGTCTCCAGAAACTAGGACTTGGAAAAATAAGTATGGTTGTTTGCCTTTGACTGTTGAACTGCAATACACAAGGCTGGACAAGAAAGAATATGACAATATGAACATGTGCAGGTGGGTAATTTATGGTTTTATTTGTAATGTGCTTGCCTTCTCTAGATCATATTGAAATCTTGTTCATGACATCCTGTCTAGGCCTTAATAGATTTCTATTTTGTAGTTCAGCATTGTTCAGCAGTTATTGTAGGTAGTGTTTGTTCACTTCATAGTTTGAATTGAATCTTCGAACATACATTAAAGTGGTACAATCTATTTCTATTTGGATATTCAGATTGTGTAATAGTTCATAGATATGGTTTGTTCATAGTAGGTACTAACAGTTCTTCTTCAATTTTTCAGCAGGGGAAGAGTTGCCATCCAGGGTATCTTGCAATTGAGTGCAAATAGCTACACAAATTGAAACCAAAACCCAGATTCAATTGATAGCATGATATACAGTTTTTGTTTATTCCTTGAAGTTGAATTCAAATTCTTAAGGATATATCACTGATTATTTAGGTACTTGAACATATCCATGAAATTTTAAATTTTATCTTGGAAATATTTATTTATAATTTTGCTGCTTGTATGTTTTTATTAAACTGTATTTTATTCATAAGTAACAGTTCTAGTTTTTTTTGTGTTTTTGTAATGATTTTCTTGTAGATTTTCAAAATTCATATTTCAATTCCACAACTACCTCAATCAACACCTCATTCTTTATTGATGCAATTTTAATGTTTCACTTTATAATCTTCATTGATTCCCTTTAAAATAGGTACAAGTATAACCTATCGATGACCTACCTCTTACATAGCAGGTAGATACCTACTTTTCCTCATTGTTAATTTTTATGAAGGTATCTTGTGAAATGTTTCAGGGAAAAACAGTATACATGAGCACTGAGGGGAAAAGTATACTGGTAGATCAAAAGTGGAATTTTCCATCATGGTCACAGATAAATCATTTGTTCGGAAATTAATCGGTTTGCAGCATGATTCAACCTATTAGTCATTCATTCGAGACTAGGTGGTGAATCAAGACAGTCTTATATTAGATGTCATCACGTACGGTCGACTTTTCTGATCGCAATTGAAAAATACGCGAAAGGAATTATGTAGGTATCGTTCCAAACGGAGTGTTCACTTGAAAATGAGTGCAAGTATTTTGTTTTTGTGTTCCTCATACAATTCAGTGATTATATTATCGCGATCGTGTGCTGTTCTGGTGTTTCGTGTCACTTCGTGTTGTTTCATCGAAGCTTCGCATTTTTCACCCTGGTGAGTAGAGAGAAATTCTCTCAAGTTTTCCTCATATTTCCCTCTTTCCTCTTTACTTTCAACTTCATTACCTTTTATGTTTGAAAATCACAAAGGTACCGCTTGTTGAACATTTTCCGATAAAGGAATACTTTCTTCTGATCTTCGTGCTTTCCGTTCAGAACTTCAATTTTTTAGCAGATAATAATGCGAAAAGAGTAAACCAGAAGAAAATAAGACGATTCGAAATTTTCATGGAAAAATACCTTTTGCCTATACAGGGTGTTTCAGATTCAATCAAATGTACATACTATACCTGCAGATATAGGAAACTTTGGCGGTTCTAATCACCCCCTATCGATGTGTCTACCATCTTTTATAACTGTGATACAGAACGTAATATTGAATTCGGCAAAATCTGTATAATAGATATTCAAATTATATTATTCATCAAAACTAAATAGGAATCGAATTTAGAATCCAGAACCGTCTTCAGGAAAAACAGAAAACTTATTCTTTTTCAAAAACAACACTCTGTATATCGGAATTTTGTAGATATGTTTTGATAATTGCAAAGAGCGGGAAAACTAATGAATTGGCATACCTCTTAGTAGTGCGCTTCCAATTTGACATTTTTTTAAAATATTTTCCGATGAAGATAAATTTTCTTCTGATTTTCGTACTTTCCGTTCAGAACGGTATTTTTTCAGAAGAAAATGATACGAAAAGAGCAAACCAGAAGAAGATAAGACAATTCGAGATTATTTCATGAAAACATATTATTTGCTATACAGGGTGTTTCAGATTCAGATGTACAAACATCGATGTGTCTACCATCTTTTATAACTGTGATCCAGAACGTAATCTTGATTTTGGCAATATCTTCATCTGGTCAGCTCATAACTTTTGAACCATGGTGTATTACAATCGATTCATACTCGATAGGTATATTCAACACATATTACTCATCAAAACTGAATAGGAATCGAATTTAGAATCTAGATCCGTTATCAGGGAAAACAGAAAACTTCTTCTTTTTCAAAAACAACACAACATAATATATCAGAATTTTGTAGATATGTTTCAATATCTGCAAAGAGCAGGAAAACTTAATGAATTGGCCTACTTTTCAACAGTGTGCATCCAATTTTACTTCTTTTCATCATTTTTTTTAAATTGAATTTTTGTAGAACTGCTAATTCTAAAGCCAATTTTATCACAAAAAAATGCACAAAGGTTAAAAAATTAATACCATATATAGATTTTGCCAAAATTATATTTTGAGCCTGTTCAATTTATTCAAATCGTTAGACTTTCGAAAATAATGGTGCCAGTATATCGGTGTTCAATAATTATTCATCTTATATTTTGTATACTATATATCTTTTCCCCCCGTATAATTTCATTATCGTCACTAGTCATAGATACATCATTTGATCGGAAATTAATCAGCAGCATGATTCAACCTATTAGTCATTCATTCGAGGCCAGGTGGTGAATCAAGACAGTCTTATATTAGATGTCATCACGTACGGTCGACTTTTCTGATCGCAATTGAAAAATACGCGAGAGGAATTATTTATCGTTCCAAACGGAGTGTTCACTTGAAAATGAGTGCAAGTATTTTGTTTTTGTGTTCATCATAATTCAGTGTTTCGTGTTGTTTCATCAAAGCTTCGCATTTTTCACGCTGGTGAGTGAATAGAGATTCTCTGTTTT